CCCCCCCAACCCCCCCCTTCCCCGTCCTCCCGCCACAGGAACACCTACTGCAGCGATCGCATGTACATCACTCGGAACAGGATGATGTACAGAGTCTGGACTATGAAGTTAACGAGAACATGGTGTGGCGGGCTCATGTGGCGTCCAAGTCGAACTGGGCGTACTCGCGCGAGCGTGGGCTCAAGTGGGTGGTGGCGCTCCTGGTAGGCATGGCCACGGCGCTGGTGGCCTACACCATCGACATGTTCATCCGTGGAGTGGCCGGCGCCAAGTTTACTCTCATCTCGCGGCTCATTGTCGACTGCGACAACTGCTTCTGGTCGCCGTTCCTCTCGTACATCGCCGTCAACGTGCTCCTGGTCTCGGTTGCTGCCTTTGCCGTCGCCTTTATCGAGCCAGTAGCCGCCGGGTCGGGCATTCCTGAGATTAAGTGCTACCTCAACGGGTACAAGATCCCGCACGTTGTCCGTCTCTCCACCCTGCTGTGCAAGGCCGGCGGCGTGATGTTTTCGGTCGCCGGTGGCCTCGCAGTCGGCCGCGAGGGGCCGATGATCCACTCGGGCGCCGTCCTTGCCGCCGGCATTTCGCAGGGCAAGGCCACGTCGCTCCCGCTCGACTCTGGCCTATTCAAGACCTTCCGCAACGACCACATGAAGCGTGACTTTGTGGCATCAGGGGCAGCCGCAGGCGTCTCGGCCGCCTTCGGCTCGCCCATCGGCGGCGTCCTGTTCTCGCTCGAAGAAGGCGCCTCGCACTGGAATCAGGCCCTGACGTGGCGGACCTTTTTCTGCACCATGATCTCGTCGTTCACGCTCAATCTTTTGCTCTCCGGCACCTCGCCGGGCGTCAAGTGGGGCTACCTCAACCAGCCCGGCCTGGTCGACTTTGGCGAGTTTGTGGCCCAGTCGTACACCGTGGTCGAGATCCCGTTCTTTGTCATCATCGGCGTGGTCGGCGGCCTCTCTGGCGCGGCCTTTAACGCCATCAACACCAAGCTCACACTCTTCCGCATGCGCTTTATCCCGGTCTCCAAGCCGTGGGCCCGCTTCGCAGAGGCCCTCTTCATCGCCGCCCTCTCGGCCACCGTCTCGTTCCTCTTTGCCTTCTTTATCTTTGAGTGCCGGCCCGAGCCCACCACCGTTTACGAGGGCATCACCCTTCGCCGCTTCACCTGTCCCGAGGGCGAGTACAACGACATGGCCACCATTTTCTTCACCACCCAGGAAGAGGCCATCCGCCAGCTCTTCCACAACCGCGACGCTTTCTCCTACCCGACCCTCGCCTTTTTCATGTTTGCCTACTTTGGCCTTGCCGTCGTCACCTACGGCGCCTCGGTCCCGTCCGGCCTCTTTGTTCCCTGCATTCTCACCGGCTGCGCCTTTGGCCGCCTCGCCGGCCATGCGCTGGAGCACCTCTTCCCGTCGATCGTCCATGACCCGGGGACCTATGCCCTCGTCGGCGCTGCCGCCTTTTTGGGCGGCGTCGTCCGCATGACCATCTCACTAACAGTTATCATTCTCGAGTCGACCAACGACATCTCCTACGGCCTCCCGGTCATGCTCACCATCATGGTCTCTAAGATTGTCGGCGACTTGTTCAACGAGGGCCTCTACGACATCCACATCGACATCAAGCACATCCCGTTCCTCGGCTGGGAACCCGAGCGCTTGATGGAGAACCTCACCGCTGCAGACATCATGTCCACTCCCGTCAACGTCCTGCCCTACTTTGTCCGCGTCCGCGACGTCGTCGTCCTCCTCGAGTCCAACACCCATGGCGCCTTTCCGCTCTGCGGCATCGACGAGAACGGACTCCCTTCCGACCAGTTTGTCGGCATCATCCTCCGCCACGAAATCATCACCCTGCTCAAGCGCCGCGCCTTTGTCGACTACGCCAACGCTGTGCGCTCCCACGTCGACTGGCTCGACTTTGTCGACGACTATCCGCGCTACCCGGACATTGTCGACATCCGCGCAGACATATTTGACGAGGACATGGACAAGTTCATGAACCTCTCACCGTACATGAACCCGGCGCCTATCACCACCCAGCCTGTCGCGGCGGCCACCGCCGTCTTCCGCCTCTTCCGCGGCCTCGGCCTCCGCCACATGGTTGTCGTCGACCGCATGCGTCGCATCATGGGCATTGTCACCCGCCACGACCTCGTCCACCTCGAGGACAAGTTCCACCGCGACGGCTCGCCGCGCGACGTTCCCTGGCACAACCCGCACTACCAGTTCGGCCGCGACACGCCGCGCTCGCACGAGGCCTCCATCGCCCACCTCTACGGGTCCACTGACAGCAAGGACACGTCGAGTATTACCTCCCTCCCGCGCTCTTCGGCAACACCCGTCCAGTCAGTAGCAGAGCTCCTCGCCTCTATCCCGGGCTCGAACGTCGATCCGCAGGCCTCGCCTACCCTCCAACGTTCCGGAATTCAATAGTAGCACACCTCGCCTGGCTCAGTACAAGCCAAACGCGCATCCGTCGGCGCGCGGGTCTGACCCGCCGTACATCATCCTCCCGCTCTTTTCGCGGACAATGATCTGCCCGCGGCCAAAGACAGACCGCGCCAGTCCGGCTGTGGGCACCACCTTGTGACCAAACTCGTCGGCCAGCGCACCTACCACCCCCTCGGCCACCCCGTCTTCCACAAACACCTTGCTCTGCTGGGCCTGGCCCGCCGCCCGTGGCACCACAAGCTCGACGGCATCAATGCAGAACCGAGGCGCGTCGAGTGCGGCCTGCGGGTCCATGCCGAACAACGCCATGTTGAACAGGACTTGGACGTGACCCTGTGGCTGCATAAACCCGCCCATGACGCCCATCGCCGAGTGAAGGCTCCCGTCGCTCTCGTGGACCGTCATGCCCGGAATGATGGTGTGGTACGAGCGCTTTCCAGGCCCAAGCTCGTTGGCTCGCGTTGCCTCGCTCACCCCCGCAGCGCAAAGTTGCATCCGCGGTTCTGCAGCGTGAAGCCGGTGCCGGGCGGAACGAGACCGGAGCCAAAGCCCTCGTAGTTGGAGTTGACCACCGACGCCGCGTTGCCCTCCGCGTCAACCACACAAAAGTACACCGTGTCTGACGATGCACTTGGTGCGCCATTCGCACTCGCCTTGCCGGCATCGATCTTGCCCGCTGCCGCCACTCCCCACTCGGGCGAGAGAAGGTGCGCGAACTCGCCATGGGCCTTCGGCTCGGCCACGTACGGTCCGGCCGCTGCAAACGCCATCCGAAGTGCCTCAATGAGCATGTGCAGGTAGCCGGCCGAGTTGTGTCCAAGCGCCTTGAGCTCCTCGGTCCGCGATGCAAGGATGTTGAGTGCGACCAGCGCCACCAGGCCTTGCCCGTTCGGTGCGCACTCGTACAACCGCACTCCGTCGACTGCGTAAGAGATCGGCTCGCCAATCTCCGAGGTATGCGCCTCGAGGTCGCTCGCCTCCATGTACGAGCCGTGTGCAGAGAGCACGTCCAAAATGGCGGCCGCTGGCCAGCCCGAGTAGAACCCGGCCTTTCCGTCGGACGCAAGCGTGCGGAGTACCCGCGCCATGCCTGGATTGGTCATGATCTCGCCGGCCGACGGCGCACAGCCGCCAGCGGTGAGCAGCTCGCTTCCGGCTGCATTGCCGCTTCGGGTCAGCTTGTGGCTTCCGGCGGTCCAGCCGCAGGCGGTCACGTCGCCGACGGCGTAGCCGTCCTCGGCAAGCGCGATGGCTGGCGCCAGCACCTCTGCGGCGGTCACTGCGCCCGAGCCCCAGTGCTCCAGCGTGTCCATCCACGCCGCCGCCGCGCCTGGAACCGTCACAGCATGCACCGAGTCCCATGGTAGGCGGACAGCAGCCGGATCAGCCGCGGTGACGGCCGCCGCCACAGCCTCGGCGTCCAACGCCGCCGGCGATCTGCCTGACCCGTTGAGGGCCTGGACCGTGCCGGACTCTGCATCGTAGTACAACACAAAGGCATCGCCGCCAAGCCCTGTCGAGCACGGTTCAGTGACCGCCAGCGCCGCCGCCGTAGCCACTGCCGCATCGGCAGCATTGCCCCCGGCCTGCAACACCGCCAGGCCAGCCGCAGTTGCCGCCGCCTGCGACGACGCCACCATGCCCCGCGGAGCTGCCACCTGCGTCCGCCGCGAGGTAAACGTCACCGAGCCCAACCCAGGGCCCACTCGCGTCCCTGTCGTGCTTCCTTCCGCCGTCGTTGCCGTAGCCATCTCGTCGTTCTGTCGCGTCTGTCGACAGGTGTCGACCCCGCCCGTCTCCCGTCCCCTTCTCACCAGTCGCCTGTCGCCTGTCGCCTGTCGCCTGTCGCCTGTCGCCGGTGTCGTCACTCACACGTGCGCCGTGCCGTGGGCCACTCTCTCCCTCCTGACGACGATGCCGGCGGCAATGGAACGGACACTCCGACCGCCGGCCCGTACAGCGAGAGCCAGAGCAGCATGTCGCGCTGGCCAAACTGGGCCAATGGCGATGTTGCGTGGGAAGCGAGGATTGACGCCGCTGCTGCTCCCTCCACAGCTGCCTCGCCCGCTGCCTCGTCCGCTGCCTCACTCCCGTCGGTCACAACAGCCTCGAGCACCGCCGCCGTCTCACACGGGTGGAGCATCAACATGGCTCGTCCGGGGAGATGCGGTGCCTCGGCCAGCGCCAGGTACGTCAGCTGGATCTGCTCGGCGTCTGCTCCGGCTCCGACTCCGCGAGATAGCGGTAGTCGCGGCCAGAGCTCGGCCAGGCCCATCGGGCCGCCAGCCTCGTTGGCAGCCTCGAAGAAAAGGACCGGAACGGCGTAGCCAGGGTGGTACACCATGTGAAAGCTGAGAACCATCGCGGCATGCCCGGCTGGGAGTGCTTCGGCCTCGTCGACCTCGCCGTCGACAACCTCGCCGCCGTCGAACCAGTCGTCGTCGGTCGACTGGGTCAAGTTAGCCCAGCCCTCGCCGCCTCGCATCACAGGCCCACACGCGAGATAGAGCCCGTTGGCAGACTCGATCGCCCGCCACGGCTCGGCCCACTCGACGCTCATCGTCGCTAGCCCACGAGCTGCTCGCTCAAAAGTGGCACGATTCATTTGCCAGACGGAGAGCCGTGTGCTGCCTGTCGTCGACGACGCAGCACGCAGGCCGTCGCGGGGGGGGGAGGGAGGAGGGACGGACCAAGACAGAGCCCAACAGCTTGTTCATTGCATTGGCGGGACAAGTCACTACCTACGTCCACGGATAAAAGGTGGGGAACATGATCGCGCCGAGCGTGTTCCACACAACGCCATAGGCCACAAGCCCGACAGCCCATCGATTGTGGCGCGGGTTGTGCAGGAGCCAGGCCGAGGCCCAGAAGACGCATGGCGTCGACGAGCACAGCATCCGGGTCGCAACCTGGATGTGCATAAAAAGCGTAGCAACGGCAACGAGAAACGCCCAATGGAGTACAAGGACGCCCACTGGATCGCGGCCAGCAACCAGCGCGGCTAGACGGACCCGCCATCCGCGCACAAGCCAAGTGCCGTAGCAAGCGATGGCGGCCATCGAGCCAACGAGGATCGGCGCAGCAAGTGCAAAGTTGGGCACTTGCTTCCACTCGTAGTAGGCCAGAAAGCCGTTGCCCCAGTACGTGGCCTGGATGTACGAGTAGAGCTTGAGCGGCGCTACGATCGAGGCGCCGCAGTGTGGGCGCACATCGTGAGCCACCACGCCACTGCCGCAGACCTCCGAAGCCCCCCAAACCTGAAAGGCAAGGTAAGGAACAACCATAATCGCAGATGCCCCAAGCCAGGCAGCACAGACTGCGAGCCGACCCAGTGTCGATCCCGCTGGCGCAGTCGCGGCGCGGACACAAAGCGCGACGGCGAGGCCCGATAGCAACATACCGTTTGAGCGGAGCGATCCAGCTCCAACGCCCGCAACAACCAGGCTCACACTAGCCAGCACCCGTGAGGCCGTCGAGTCATTACGCCGCGCAGGCGTAGCCAGCCACAGATAGGCGGCAACGGCGGCAAAGGCAACCGCCGCAAACGGCGCCTCGGTGTAGGCCACAGATCCAAAGACCGATGCGGGCGAGAGAGCATGGAGCCTGCCCGCCGTAGCCATAAACGTTTCACGCGTCACGCCCGAGCCGTGAAGCCACTTTGAGCCTTTGCTGGCTTCATACACAAGGCCAGCGGACCAGGCGACGGCGAGAGCTGCCGCGATGCCGGCGACGCTGGCGATGAGGGCGCCAGCGAGAGGCGGCGAGAGCCAGCCAGCAGACGCAGCGACCACTGCACGAAGAAGCAACGGCCATCCCGGAAAGAACGCCATCTCGTGCTCATACACATATCCGCGGTCGGCGATGGCGGTGTAGTAGATGCCGTCCCAGTTGGCGGCGTGGCCGAGAGCAGCCCGACTGCCCGAGGCGTCAAAGGGCGGAAGACAAGCAGCGGCTGCAGCCATGACCACTGCCACCACCACCCGCGAGCACACACCCCATGCCACTGTCTGCGCCACCCATCCCATCACCGCGTCTGCTGTGGTGGGAGTTGGGTGGCGAGGTGGGTGACGGGCCACGGCGCGATCGAGCGCGAGCAGAGGCGGCAGGCGCCGATGACCACTTCCCGATGACCGTATCGTCACCACACACACGGTTCGTGCTCATCGTGGCGGTATCACTCTCCTTAGAGCATATGGCAGATGATAGAAAAGTGTGGCTGGTCGGTCCCGTTGGGCTTCGGTGGAGGTCTCATCGATTCCCGGGCTCGGGGCGGGCTGGTCCCGGCCCGGGTTGACCCACGACGAGGCCGGCCGAGCAACGAGCCGACAGGCCTCTGGTCGGCAGCCACCACGTGCCAGGGGCAGGGCACCTCACCTCTCGCAAGCAGCAAGCAGAACCCAAAGATGGGCAAGAAGACAAGCAAGCGCAAGTCGAAGATGAGGAGCTCAGCTGGCTCGGCTGGCTCGGCTGGCTCGGCTGGGTCAGTTGGTGCGGCTGGTGCGGCTGGTGCGGCAGGAGGCAAGCTGGTGCTGTGGGCCGTGGTCGGTTTGGCTCTGGCGGTGGTGGCTGCCATGATCGTCGCTCCGGGCGCCATGCCGTGGGTGGCCGGGAATGGGAAGGGTCCGATGGACCGAGGCGAGTCAGATAAGAGAAATAACCCGCTAGCTGAGTCCGACGGCAGTCCGCGGATCGTGCTTCTTCATGCCAACGGGGGAAACAACTCGGCGTCAGATCCGTGGCCGGCACAGCTAACCATCTCGTCGCGGAGCGAGCTCGATTCGATGGTGGTTGACAAGTTCTTTGAATGGGGTCTGGACAAGCATCGCCCAGCTCATGTGCCAGCCGACCGCGAACTTGTCCTCAACCTGTACCTGGAGGACGGCTCGCGGCTGCGATCGATCCAGCAGCTGGCCAAGGACCGCCCACAAACGTGTTCATGGTCCCGGCCGACGAGTTCTTCTTCTGGCCAGGGCTGTACAAGGGCCACCGGACGACTGTGGCTGGCATCGTGGGTGCCGGCGGCGCACCCGTCGTCATTGAGACCGTCTCGCTCGAGCCGCGCGTCTTTATCCTTGACAACATCATCTCCGAAGAGCAGATGGAGGTCATCAAGGGCGCGGTCCGCCACGAGATGCAGCGCTCGGCTATGTACACTCCGACCGACGATGGGACTCACTACGACGAGTACTCGAACGGCCGCACCTCGAGCCAGGCATGGTACAAGCAGCGCCACCCGCTGACCGAGCAGCTCTATGACAACATCGCCGCCCTCACCAAGACTCGCCAGAACCTTGCTTTTGGCATGCAGGTCATCAACTACGGTCCGGCACAGCACTACGAGGCCCACTACGACTACTTTGATCCGTCCATGTACCCCGGCGAGTCCCAGTTCCAGAACGGCCGCAACCGCATGATCACTGTCCTCTTTTACATGAACGATGTCGAGGAAGGTGGTCACACCGCTTTTCCCCGCGGCGACGACTACTACGGCCTCAACGGCGTCATTACTGACTACTCGGACTGCGAGCACGGCGTAAGCGTGGCGCCCAAGAAGGGCCGCGCCGTCATGTTCTACTCGCTCAAGGCACTCGGCCACATGAACGGCGCCCTCGACAGGTACTCGCTCCATTCGGGCTGCGACGTGCTCAAGGGCGAAAAGTGGGCCGCCAACCGCTGGATCTGGAACAAGCCGTTCCCGCAGCAGTAAAGGCCTCGCTCGACGCTCACATCGGAAGTAGTGCCTTGATCAGCGAAATGCCCGAGACGCTCACGCACACCACCATCCCGGCGAGCGCAGGCGGCAAGTCGTCGAGCACCTCGGGTACAAGCTCGGCAAACGTCACCCAAATCATGCAGCCGCCAGCAAAGCCGAGCCCCAGCGGAACAAGCCGCGAAAACGTGTCCGCAAAGACAAAAGCCAGGACCGCGACAAGCGGCTGCGGCGCCGACGTCAGCGCCGCATACCCCATCGCCGCCAGGAACGACCCGCCCTTGGCCCGAATCCGCAGCGCCACCACTAAGCCTTCTGGGATGTTGTGACACGCAATCGCGAGCGCCATGTACAGGCCCGAGATGCTGGCGCTGCCATCGTGCGAGCCAGGCGTTGCATACGCCACGCCGACGCCCACTCCCTCGCCGATCGAGTGCAGCGTCATGATCGCCACAAGCAGCAGCGCTCGCCGCGCTGCTGTCCCAGACAGTCCCGCCAGTGATAGCCCGCGAAGCCTGGTCACCGTCTCGGACGACCACATGATGAACAGGACGCCGCAGAGGAGGCCGAGCGCTCCCCGCAGTGGATGCTCGGCCATGGCCTCGGTCACCAGATCAAATGAGATTGCGAGCATGACGCCCACCGCCACCGCCGTGGCGCAAGCCACCGCCGCCCCGCCATCGCCCATTGCCACCAGCGGCACAGCGCCGAGGCCGGTCGACGCAGCCATGGCCACACTCGCAGCAAGCACCTCGAGCCAGCCAGCCGACGAGCCGCTTGGCGTTGACTCACTGCCAGAGCCGGCCACCGCCTGGGTCACCACGACCACGCCAAGCACACACACACCAACCCGTACCCCAGTCCGCCACCGCCTCACCAGCTCTGCACTCTCGCCCTCTCGCCCTGGCCTTGCGCCTGTGCTTGCACTGCCGCTCCCGCCGTGTCCAGTCCCGCCACTGGCTGTTGCGCCCAGCGGGAGCATGATCGCCGGCGCGCCGACGTGAGCGACAAGAGTTTGGCACTTGGTGGTCCTACGGTTCAAGAGAAGCAAGCTCGGATAGGCTGGTACTGGCTACAGCGCGACGCAACACAAGTGCGCGCTCGAATCGGTACCGATCTCTACACACCCGATCGAGACTCCAACCGGCAGCGGCAAACAAGTCGACGACGGCCTTGCGGCGAGTGCGGACGCCGACCTCGAGAACAACCGCGCCATCCGGCGCAACCAGTTCGGGGCTCCGCAATAGCGAGGCAGCAAGCCCAACATATCCAGCTTGACCGTCCTCGCCGCCAAGTAGCGCCAGCAGCGGCTCATGCTCGACGGTCTCGTCGTCGAGGTGGCGATCAGCGAGAGGCTCCGCCACATACGGCGGGTTGCACACCAGCACGTCGGCGTTCTTGACACGATCGTCAACAGCGCCGAGATCAGCTAGATCGCCCTCGACAAAGCACACATTCGTGTTAGGTGACAAGAGTCGACTGGCGTTGGCCTGTGCCACAGCGAGTGCGTCCGGGCAAATGTCGACGCCGACACCGGCGAGTGATGAGCCCTCGATACCGGCCGCCAGGATCGAGACCAGCAGACAGCCCGAGCCCGTGCCCACGTCCACCACGCGGAGACAATCCCGGGTGCGTGCGCTTCGCGCCAACTCGGCTCTGGCCTCAGCCACCAGCACCTCGGATGATCGTCGCGGAATGAGGACCGCGGGCGTGACCGCAAACGAGAGATCGCAGAACGTCGCCGACCCCACAATGTACGCCAGGGGCATGCTAGCCAGTGCCGCCGCGTCAGCCTCGGTCCACGCAGAGGCCTCGCTTGCAATCGCATCTTGGATGGTGGCTTTGCGGACCGCACCGCGCTCGGCGGCAAACCGTCCCTCGCGCTCCAGAAGCGTGAGAAATCGGACTGGCGCCTGGGCTTCGACCACCACACGCTCTCCGGTACGCGGGTGCGCAAAGGCTATGCGTCGGACGTGAAGCATTGCCGGCATATGCCGGCGATTGGATGTCCGCCCCTGGCGATCAATCAAAGCCAGCTCACCCGAGCCCGCGAGCGCCCCAAAGAGCTCGTCCGGATGGCTTACGCCGCCCATCAGGCCGCGGAGCCAGAGCAGCGTTCCGACAGCGTTCGACGGCGTGCTCTCCACCAGCTCTAGCGCCATTCCGTCAATGCAGCGGACCAGGCCGTCGTCGCTGACAGGTACGCCGTTGAGTGCGCCTACAAGAGCGTCAAACTCGAGCTCGTCAAGCCGCCCCGCAGATAGCAGGCGACCAGGTGGACCGGCGTCAGCCCAGGCATCGGCTGCCGCCCGCGACTTGAAGACCACGACCAGGCCTGAAACCGTCTTGCCGAGCAAGTATCCCAGCCGAGCTCGCGGCATCCGGTCATCAGGAATGAGTTCGGGCGGCAGCCGATCGAGCGGGAACATGTCCCGCACAAACGCCTGCAGGGCTCCCGAGTCGACCTGGCCGGCACTCCGCAGCCCGCTGGGCTTGGACACAACGGCCAAGTCGCGATCCTCCCACACCACGTGGATGTTGCGCTCGCTAGCAGCACGACAACGCGCGCTTGTCCACGACTCGAGCGGAAGCTCGAGGGCGAGGCGCACACCAGCGGGCAGCTGATGGTCTTTGCGGACCGAGTTGCCACCGTCGGCAGTGAACAGGCCGTGGAACATCATGCGCTTCGTCGACCGCCGCGACTGTGCACCCATGTCAGCAAAGAACTTCTGCGCAGCCTCAAGCGCCGTCATCGGCTCGGGCACAACAACCTCTCGTCGGCGAACGATGGAGCCATCGGCTGTGGTGGCCACCTCGGTCGAGACCAGAGCGACGTCGACCGGCGAGAGCTCCAGCACCAGCTCTGCCCCCAACGGCACAGCTGCAGCAGCAGACCGGATGTCCACCACCTCTGCCTCTCCACCAGACTCGTTCACCATCCGTAGCCGCCCCTCGCTCACCGCAACCGCCACCGCTGCGTTGGTTGCCATCAGCTCGGGCACCACAGCCTTGAGCAGGTCCTTTGCCCGGACGGCCCGATAGTGCGCATTGCGGACAACCATACACAAGCCGCCAAAACCAGCCGCGCCGTCTTCCACCCGCGCGTCCGCCGCCGCCATCCCGACTGCGACCCACAAGGCACGAGTGACAAGTGAGAACAAGCGTGTGCACTTGGAGCAGTGCTTGTGCCGTAGCCAACGGGCCAAGTATCCATGTTCAATAGAGCGTGCAATCGGGTGGCTATCCATCTGGGTAAGAGGCTTCTGCGGCGAGGCCTTGGTAGTGGGCAACAACCTTTGGGTCACGGTTCATCCAGTCGCGGACGTCGAGCAAGATAAAGGCAGCGGAGGACTGCATGTTGGAGACCTTCTTGGGCACCTTGCCGCGCGGATCGACCTGGGCAATCCATGTGACGAGACAGGCGGAGGAGGCGGCCTCCTCGGCAGCCGACGTGACACGCGAGCCGTCTGCGTTGAGCGGCACAATGACGTATCCGGATCGCTGGAGGAAGAGGCGGACATGTTTGCGCGGAAGTGGCGCTGGGTGGGCGGCGGATGACGAGCACACGATGTACTCCCAGTCGTTGTCAGCGCAAGCCATGCGCTCGGTGTCAAAGGTAACCATGGCGCGGTCCTTGAGCGGCATGGGAAACTTGTACAGCATCTGCGAGATGGAGCAGGTTGGCGAGAAGGTCTCCAGAAGCTCGGCCGACTTGAACCGCGAGTCGCAGGCCTTGAGATGCAGGTTGGAGCGGAAGACCTGGAACATAATCCTTGCCGACCGGCGGAAGATGAACTTGCCACGGGTGATAGCCAGCTCGCCCGATTTGTCCTGTGTCACCGAGCACCCGTTCTTGGTCTTGATCGACTCCCAAGGCGGGCCCTCGGCTGCCGCCACTTGCGACAGATCGTCCAGCAACGCATCTGTCCGCCCGCTCCACAGACCGCCCGACAACCCGACCGACCGACCGACCGCACACCACCAAGCGCAAAGACGATCACCCGAAACACATACATAGACACGTACGCCTTCAATGATGAGTCGCTTGATGTACCCCGCCCGCCACCGCATCGCTGACGACGTCAGCCAAGGGGTCGACCTCCCGTCGGGAGAGAGAGAGCAAAAGGGGGGGGGGAGGCATAGGGATAGGGATGGGGCCAAGAGCACCACATATACAGAGTGTACGTACCAGCTACCCATTCGTAGTTTGTATCGGTGATGGTGAGACCCTCAAGCGGAGCATCGCTACCAGTCGACTCTTCGGAAGCATACAGCTCGTCCAGTGTTGCCACCTTGCGCACAGCCGCCATGCAGACTCAGCTAGACCGCAATGATAGATGGAGGAAGGTGAAGAAGAAGGTAGTGGTAGTGGAGAGACAGTATAGAAAGGTGTGATGCTCAACAAGGAAGGCACAGAGTGCTGTGCTGGTATCCACTCCCGCACCACTCTCGCATTCGTCCCATTTCGTAGCGCGGGTGGTCGGACGCGGGAGGTGCTACCAACACAGCGTTTGTCAAGGAGTGCCTGTGACGAACAGAACATTGCTGACGGATGACGTTGTTCGCCGTTGGCAGGCAACGACGATCTTGTCAATGATTCTACCTTGTCCCGCAATTGGTGAAAATGGTGCCGCCACTCGCTCGGCTAGCCAACCGGTTGGCGGCTGGCCAACGATAGACCCGTCGCACCCGGCTCGGAGCACACAAAGCGAGAGCAGAACGAGAGCAATAGAGTCTCGCAGATGGAAGAGTATCGGAAGATCTCCACTGTTGGGCGTGGCCAGTTTGGGTCTGTCATTCTGTACGTGTCGCCTTGTCTATGAGTTAGAGCGTGGCGGTTGTGCGATGTGCGGAATGGCAGGCGGGAGAGGGCGCGAATTTTCAAATGTTTTCAGTTACGGACAAGGCCACTCACGGAGACAACGGGGAATGGGACCATGGGGCGGGGACAGGGCGCGGGAGGTTGCCACGGGCGACAAGGTAGCCATCAAGGTTGTCAAGACCAAGCGGTATACAGAGAAGCAGCGGGCAGATCTCATTCGCGAGGTGGTGGTCCTCTCGGGTGTCCACCACCCGTTTGTCGTCGCCTACCGGCACTCGTTCTACAAGGCGGCGGCGGTGTACATTGTGATGGAGTATGCCGAGCGTGGGACGCTCAAGGCCAACCTGGCCAAGGACGGACGTAAGCTCAAGCTGTCCGAGCGGCGGATCATGCGGTACTTTGTCCAGATCCTTCTAGCTCTCATGCACCTGCATCGCGAGCAGATCCTCCACCGCGATCTCAAGACTGAGAACATCTTTGTCGCCGCTGACGGCTCGATCAAGCTCGGCGACTTTGGCGTCTCGCGGGTGCTTGGCAACACACTGGCGGCCACGCGCGCCGGCACGCCCCACTATGTTGCACCCGAGATTGTCGAGGGTGAGCTGTACGCGAAAAGGCCGACGTCTGGTCGCTCGGCGTCGTGCTCTACGAGATGGTCATGGGCAAGATGCCGTTCCGCCCGCGCAAGCCTGGCGCAGGCCTCCCGCAGCTTCTGGACAACATCTTGCACAAGCAAATCCGCGTTCCGCGCTCGCGCAACGTCTCGTCGAGCCTGCGCAACCTCGTCTCCGACCTCCTGAGCAAGGACCCTGATGACCGTCCCTCGCTCCGCTCGGTCTTCAAGCGCTCTATCGTCCGCCACGCCTTTGACGCCCTCCCCGACCGTGAGGACTTTGACAGCAAGGGCCGGTATGCGCCCTACGACTCGTCCGAGGAGGATGAGGGCGAGTCGGCCTCGCGCCGCGGCAAGCGCGACGCAAAAAAGCTGCAGAAGCGCCTCGGCGTCTCCCGCTCCTCACTCCGCCTCCGCAACCTGTCCAATCTCATGTAAACGCCACATCTTCCTCTGGTGCTGCCGCATGGCTGGCGATTCTCGCATCCAGCACGTTGTGAAAGACTTGCTTCATTGGCGCATCTATTTGCGGACCCACGATTCGAACACATACGGGTAGCGATACCGGAGGCGGAACTCGGTAGCCAGCTCCTTCTGCAGGTGGCAGTACGTAGTGAGAGCATCCTCGGTGTGCTCCTCGGTAGCAAACGCAAACTGGATCTCCTCAACGCGGTTCTTGTGCGACGTCAGGTAGTCCAGCACGTCGTACTCGCATCCATTGCAGTCAAGATGCAGAAGCGAGAGTGTGTGGATGCCGTTGCGCTGGACCTCAGACGGCAGTGACTTGAACTCGACACGCATCATCTTGCGCTCCGGCGGCGGCGGCGGCGCGAGCAGCGATCCAGATCCAGTCTCCGAGCCTGACGACGTCCACGATTTCCCGCTCGACATGGCGCTGACCCCGCTGTCGCGCGAAGCGCCCCACTCAGAGCCCGACGAGCCCTCATCCTTGTCCGCAGCGCTCCGCGCGTCCACCGTGTCCTCAACCTCCACAGGCACCTCGCGGAACTCGTCCACATCCGACAAATAGAAAGGAAGGACCCGAACGTTGCTCACAGACTCAAACCGCGCGTTGAGCGCTTCGTAACGCTTGGGGATTCCCTCAAACACAAAGATGTTCGACCCATACATGTTGGTCATCGCGTGAACGACATCGCCGTTGCCCCCGCCCACAACAAACACCACTCTATCACACCGCTATCGTGAGTCGTCATCGCTCATCAACATCCTTCCCCACAAGCTCTCATCCGCCTCCTACAAACATACGACTTGGAGTTGAGGTTCTTCTCAGCATACAGCAGCTCGGTGCCACCGTTCTGAAAGTCGCCGACAGTGCGATGAATCTTGGCCTTGCGGCAATCTGCAAACGACATCGGCTGCATATGCTTGGCCTCATCCCTGGAATGACTGAAGCTCTCTGTCCATCCAATCCGTTACCACCGCCACCACACCGTAGACATCATCCGCCATGAGTTTCCCCCCTCCTCCACCGCCCCTCCTACTTCCATCCGCCACTCTGTCTTCCCTCGTCGAGCAAGGCATCCACCACCACCACACCGAGGCGGACCACCCTCTACTCGCTCCAAGTACCCACACACACGCACATACACATACACACACACAAACACAAACATACATATACATATACATATACATATACACGCACGTACACGCACACGCACTACTAACCCCCCCCCCCCCTACCTAACCTCCCTTCTCCCCTCCCCCCTCCCCTCCCCCCTCCCCTCTCTCGCAACGTGGCATGGAGCGTACGGTCGTAGCCAGAGCTGTTCATAAAGAAGATGAGGCAGAGGACAAAGACCACACCGCCCATGATGTAAGTACGGTTTGACTTGCCGCTCATGGACTGGTCGCTGAACACACGCTTCTCCGGAAGCATATCCTTGCAGGGCGTCAAGTCGTTGCTGTTCTCGAGTCATGACCGGCTGCTGCCAGCTGCTTCAGACACACACTCACCTACCTCCTTCTCGCCAACACGGGTTGGCCGATTATTGTGGTGCGATCAGTGTGTGAGGCGCGAGTCACCTGCGACAGTCGCAAGCACGGCGTCGGCTGCAAGTTCTGACGGATCACGCGAGTTGGGGCCGTCCAACAGTGGTGTGGTAAGCGACGATACAGCGAGCTGGGCGGCGCGAGCATCATCATCGGCCAATAGCCGGGTGGCGGCCGCGGCGATGCCGTCAGCATCGAGCGCGCTGGAGAAGAGAAACTCGGGAATGGGCGCGTCAGCGCCGACACCCATGCTCTTGGCTACGTCTGGCGACGCGTGCTCGTGATAGAGGATGTTGGGAAGCGAAGCCCACGAGACCTTGGTCAACCAGCGGGCGAGGTGCTCGGTGAGCCACGAGCCGGGAAAGGCGACAACGGTGGGCGTTCCCATGGCAACCAGCTGCGGCACAACCGTGCCGGAAGCTGCCAGAGCCACATGCTGGCGCTGCATTGCACTACCGAGACCATGCACAGTGGCCATGCTGGCGCGGAAAACCTCGACGCCAGGCTCATTGCCCATGTACGCCTTGGCCCGGTCCGCGATGGTTTCTGTAGCAGCAACAATGTGAAGATCCACGTCGGCTGCATCCAGGCCTAGACTCCGCGCCACTCGCCCTGCCACGCCCGCAAAGAGCGGGAGCAAGACCCGGACCTCTTGTTGCCGCGAGCCCGGATAGATGCCGATGGTGAGGCGCTCCGCCGGCCCGGCCCACACCCTAGATGCCGCTGATCCGAGACCACCGCTCCGCTGCGCCGCAAGCAAGCCGGCCACTGCCGGGTACCCGATGTAGGTGACCGGAAGGTCGGGCACGGCAGCTGCGAGGACGGGTGCGTCCATGGGGACGACCGAGAGCACGCCGGCAGCCGACGCCGCTAGGGCTTTGGCGCCGCGAGCAACACGCCCCGGAGATGACCACGCCCACAGCGACGGCGCCACGTACTGCAGCCGGGGAGGAACAGGCCTGCCGCTGGCAACAAGCTCCTCCGCCGCCCGCGCCACCACCCGGTTGTTAAAGCCCTTGGCGTCGACGGTGACGACAATGTCGGCCTCGGTCTCCGCCAGCCACCTCGCCGCCGCCGCCACGTGCGATCGCAGCCGCGGCAGAGCGGATATGACCTCGGTAAAGCCCATAACCGCAACTTCGTCCAACGGAATAGGCGAGGCTACGCCAGTTACAGCCTCCATCCGCGGTCCGCCGAGGGCCACCACTTCGACGCCGCGCTTCTGCAGCGCACGAGCCAGCCCTGCACCCAGACCGTCCCCCGATGGCTCCCCTGCTACCAGAGCCACCTTCACTCCGACTCGTCGAGCCGCTGCCATCACACTCGGCACCATCCCTCCACCCCTCATACTCTGCGATCTGCCGTCTCTGTCTCCCGAGTGCAGTGTTTATCCCTCATTTCCGTTGAGACGTACCCTAGTTGCGGACACTGTCACGGACGTCGACCGAGTAGACTCGCCACAGACAGCCATCGCCAAGCGAAGACAACCTGATCATCGCAGTCATTAATCGCCATCACCCTCGACAGGTAATAGAACTTGCCTACGTGACTGGCGCATGGCGTATGTCACACACACCCCCTCTTTCCCTTTCCCTTCCCTTCCCTACACCACAGCAGCAAAACGCCAACAATGGCGCGCCATCAGCCCCCGCTCGATCCTGCCCCCCCCCCTCACCCACCCCCGGTCCACTAGGCACAGCCATAGGGTGCGGGATCACTTGACCCGTAACCCGTGGAGTGCAGCCATGGGGAAAGACAAGGCCAAGGAGAAGGAGGCCAAGGCACGGGCCAAGGTATGTTCTGGAATGGATGGGCAAGGGGGAGGGAAGGAGGGGGAGGGGGGGGTGTCTTGAGCGGCGTGGGGTGCATGGGAGGGGAACGAACACGGCTGGCAAGTGTGGGGGGGGGGGGGGGGGGGAAGGAGGAGGGATGACTGATGGGGGTGGAATGCGGATGGGATGCGGATTGGCAACAGGCTGAGGCCAAGCGTGCCAAAGAGGAGGCCAAGCGTGCCAAGGAGGAGGCCAAGCGCGCGAAGAAGGAGGCCAAGGAGAGGGAGAAGGCTGAGAAGGCTGCAAAGAAGAAGGCGGAAAAGGAGGCCAAGAGCAAGAAGGCGCGAAAGAAGGGAAAGAGCTCAGAGTCTGCAAAGGTGCCCCAGAAGGCCGAGAAGGTGCCCGATGCTGCGCCAGAGCGAAATCCCGAGCCAGTGCCTCAGACAGAGGCTCCGGCGGCTGCCAAGCCCGCGCGTGCGTCGGCCAAGGGCAAAGGAAAGGCCAAGGCCAAGCAGGCAGCGGCAAATTCGGGCTCGGGCTCCTCCAGCTCAAGCTCGTCGGGCTACAGCTCGGGCTCAGGATCGAGCTCGTCGAGCTCGGGATCGCGATCGGACGCTGGTGGAGACGAGGCCGGTGCGAGTGGTCCCGCGGTCAAGGCCGCAGTCCCAAGCGGCGAGAGCAAGATGCGTGGGGCACGAGGCCTCTCGGCTCTAGTGGCCAAGCACACCAACATCGAGGCGCTCACGGTGGTCAAGGCCGAGAACAGACTGCTCAAAGAGAAGAACGAGTCCCTGAGCGCCGATGTCAAGGAGCTGACGGCCGAGAACACACGCCTTGCAGCCAAACAGGAGAAGACCAAGACCAAGCTTGATGGCCTCCGTGAAGCGTATACAGACATGAGCACTGCGTTTGAGCAGGCCAAGACCAAGAATCAGGAGCTCGTCGCTATTGTTGCAGAAGTTCAGAAGGAGGCCGGAAAGCTCGAGGCTCAGATCGAGCATGATGCCACTGCACACGCCGCCGCCATCCGCGAGCTCAAAGCTGAGCTGAACGACAAGCTGAGTGAGTTGGAAGCTGCTGCTGTCGACCGCGACGCCGCAGCCGCCTCCCGCGACGCCGCAGCCGCAGACGCCGCCGCCGCGGCTGCTGCTGCTGCTGAGCTACAGATCCAGGTGAGCCAGCTTGCAGAGGAGCTCAAAGAGCTCAAGGCCCGCGCGCCTCTTATGCAGCCGAGCCCTGAAAAGGCAGTCCAGGCCGAAAGCGTGGCGGCTTCCGACTCTGAGGCAGCCTCGGCAGAGCTCCTGGCCGAAGTCGAGACGCTCAAGGCGAGTCTAGCAGGCAAGGACGAGGAGCTGGCCAAGCTGCGGTCTCAACTGGAAGAGGCTCGATCGGCGGCGTCCGGTCCGTCGGTGCCATCGTCGGGCGCAAATGCTGCGGCGCCGCCGCCACCTGCGGCCAACCCGCCGCCGCCGCCGCCGCCGCCCCCGGCCGCCAACCCGCCGCCACCACCACCACCACCACCTGGAGGCAGTGGCCCTCCACCGCCACCGCCACCGATGCCCGGAAGCGGTCCGCCACCACCGCCACCGCCAATGCCAGGTGGTGGCCCGCCACCGCCGCCGCCGCCGCCGGGCGGTGGCCCGCCACCGCCACCGCCGCCGCCGGGCGGTGGCCCGCCGCCGCCACCAGGCATGCCGGGTGGGGCCATTGCGCTCCCGCGCGGCAAGCCCAAGATCAAGCCGCGCGTTCGGATGAAGGGCTTGTTCTGGAAAAAGGTCAAGACGCTACCGCCGACACACCCGCAGTACGTGCCGACGGTGTGGGAGGATCTGGAGGAGCCCGAGTTTGACATCGACCGTCTCGAGGAGCTGTTCGGGAAGAAGACCGGCGGCGGGAGCGGTGCGAGCGGAGGTGCTACTGCCGTTGCCGCCGCCAAGCCCAAGTTCACTAATGTGCTTGACGGTAAGCGGTACAACGCAGTGGCGTTCATGATGGCCAAGCTGCCCAAGGCGCCCGAGCTGGCGCGTGCCGTGCTGGAGCTTGACGATTCGGTGCTCAACCCGGAGGCCGTCTCGCAGCTCCTCGCCAACATGGGGACGCCGGAGGAGATTGCGGCCATCAAAAGCGCAGACACGTCCGAGGCGCCGCTCGACCGTCCGGAGCAGTTTGTCCTCGACCTGTCGGAGATCCCGCTTCTGGGCAAGCGACTGCTTGTGTGGAAGAACGTGCAGTCGTTTGCCGAGGCTGCCGCCGACGTCTCACAACCTCTTGCCGCGCTCGACGACGCGATTTCCGAGACCAAGTCATCGCCGCTCTTGCTCGACATCATCGCCCACGTTCTGGCAGTCGGCAACTACCTCAACGGCTCGACATCGCGTGGCCAGGCCATGGGCTACGACCTCGATTCGTTGTTCAAGATCAACGACTTGAAGGACTCACGCAACAAGTCGACGCTGCTGCACTTTGTAGTCAACGAGATCATGGACAAGGCCGCGGCTACCGCCGCTGCCGCTACTGCCGAAAGGTCCAGTGACGGCGACGGCGACGAGCAGCAGCAGCCGTCAGAAGCGGCAACGTCTAACCAGACCGACCCGCTGGCGCTGGCCGAGCAGCTGGCAGCAGTCCCGGCTGGGGCCCGAGTCTCGCTTGACGAGCTTGAAGGCGGCATCAAGCGGCTGACCAAGCTTGTAGCAGAGACCCAAGCGGCGGCCAAGGTTGTGATGGAGGCGAGCGCGGGCGAGGATGGCGAGGGTGCGAGCAGCGGCGACGCGTTTGCCACCAAGCTCGTGCCGGAGCTGGCGCGGATGGAGGCTGACGTTGCCGAGTTCCAGGACACGTTCACCAAGCTCGCAGCGGGCTTCACCGACATGCTCCTGTTTTACGGATACACCAAGCGAAGTGTGAGCAAGGTCAAGCCCAACGAGTTCTTTGCGTCACTGGCCGAGTTTACCGAGGCGTACGAGGCCGTGCGCGAGAAGATCGTCAAGGCACGCGCGAAGGCGGCCAAGGCACGGGAGGCTGAACAAAAGCTGGCGCGGGAGCGCCAGGAGCGGCTGAAGCACCTCGGCGACCTCGCGGTCGATGACGGGTCGACACGTGAGCTGACTGAAGCCGGCGTGGCGGCGACATCGTTGTCGAGGGCGTCAACTGTCGACGACCTGGTCATGTCGCTCAAGTCAGGGGGCAGCAGCGACAAGAAGAAGCGCCGCCGCAACTGAACAACACGATGCACAATACAGACTGCACACTAAACGTGGACATAGCGTCGAATCAGAAGAGACCGAACCGGCGGGCGAGGGCGATGCAGCCCCAGGCGAGGCCGGCGAGCATAGCGAACTGGACAAGGAAGGTCGAGGCGCGGTTGGCGCGGATCTGCCCGGTCGGCGAGCTGACAGCGGCAACAACGGTGGCACGCGCATCATCGCCAACGATCGGTGGGCCGTGGCCAAACATGACAACGTCGACGTCGTCGTGGGCCTCGAGCTGGTCGAGAACAAAGCGGGCCCACGCGGCGTGGTCCGGGATGCCGATGACCGAGAACAGCCGGGCACGCCCGAGGCCCTCAAAGCCGCACAAGTCGGCAAACGGCGTCTCGTCGGCCTGCCAGTTGACGACCAGGTCCGAGCCAAGGAGCATCGCACGCGATGCTGCCCCGTCGTCGAGCCCGTCGATGGCAAAGGTGTAGACCTGCTCGCGGCCTTTGCACGCCGGCTCCGGCGCAGTGACGACGTCGATGCCCAGCGCTGGGAGCACGTCCTCGGCGGCGGCAGTGACCGGCACATGCTCACGTTCGCGGATGACGTCCAGCATCGGGCCCGGGCCCACCACCACAGCCTCGGGAAACCGGGCCGCCCACGCGGCGCCGTACGACGTGTGATGCTCCGAGGTGACGACGATGACCGCCACCTCGCCCAGGGCTTCCACAGCCGCAAAGGTCGCGTCCTCGGCGGCAGCCACCGAAAAGAGCACCAGCTGGTTCTCGTTCACCCGCACAACGGTCATGTTGGCCAGACAGCCAAGCGGGGCACAACCTGATAGGGAGCGGAAGGGTGAGTGTTGGCCTGCGAGGGAAGGGCGGTCAGTGGAGGCACATGACAGGCGTCGCACCTACCCTTGCACAGCCACACATTGCCCGCCACCTGGCTGAGCTCTGTGTTCGGCTTGTGCCCTGTGATCTTGTGCTTGACAACACCGGCAATGACAAACGGGATGGCCATGGTAAGAGCAACCGACATGCTGGGCTGGCTGAAGGGGAAGGAAAGGGGCGAGGCAAGTGGCCCGGCCAGCAAACCACGACCTTTTTCGGCCACTATTGGCATTCTGGGGGGGGGGGAGGAGGGGCGGCGGGAATGGCGCAAGCGACCAAAGCGTGCCGAGAAAGCGATATGGTATTTTTCGGCAGACCATCATTCTCGGGCATGGTGGGCGTACAAGCCTTGTGGCCACTGCACCCCACAGATACTTGCGATACAGGCACCACGTGCTTTACTGCCGATTATGCTCCCACTGACTGGGGGGTTCTACCTCTTGCTAGTATTGCACGCTGCTTTGACGCACGTCCAGAGGTCGACACTGATGACGGCAAAGTGACCGTTCCCGCTTGCGATGCGTCAGCCGAGGAGAATGTCCCCCTCCCTCCCCCCCCCTCCTTCCCACCTCTCCCTTGCCTCCTCCTCCTCCTCCTCTTCCCCGATACTCGTCAGGGATACAGCACGAGCAAGAGTGCTTCGTGCAGGACTTCAGGCGGTGCGTGCGGGGATACGGTTGCCTATGGTGCGGAAGAGCCCGCGGAGGGCGGCGCCAGCGAGTGCTGTGTCGTCGGCAAGCGTACAGACGGTGAAGCGGAGCCGGAAGCGGCGCTTGAGTACGGCAGCGCTGGTGCTCGAGGTGGAGGAACCTAGCGACGAGAGCGAGGGCGAAGGCAAGGAGGGCAAGAAGGCGGCGGCGACAGCGGGCAAGAGCAAGCAGCGGAAGAAGCCGGTGGCGACCAAAGACGACGAGCCGCCGGCCCAGTGGGCCGAGGTCTACCGGCGGATCGAGGAGATGCGGGCCAAGGAGGACGCACCGGTCGACACCATGGGCTGCGAGCGGGCGGGAGATACTGCGGCAGTGCCCGAAGTCTTTCGGTTCCAGACACTGGTGGCGCTGATGCTGTCGTCGCAGACCAAGGACGAGATCACGCACGATGCGATCGGGCGACTCAACGAGGGTCTCCCGGGCGGGCTCACCCCGCAGGCTGTTGTCGATGCCGAGCCCAGCCACATCAACGAACTCATCCGGCGTGTTGGCTTCCACAACCGGAAGACTGGGTACCTGCAAAAGGCTGCGGCGATCATACTCGACGAGTACGGCGGCGACATTCCGCCTACTGTCGAGACGCTGGTCAAGCTCCCGGGTGTGGGGATGAAGATGGCCATGCTCGCCATGCAGTGCGCCTGGTTCATCAACTCGGGCATCGGTGTCGACGTCCACGTCCACCGCATTGCCAACCGCCTCGGCTGGGTGAACAAAACCAAGAACCCCGAGGCGACCCGCATCGAGCTCGAGGCCTGGCTGCCCAAGGATAAGTGGGGTCCCATCAATCCGTTGCTTGTTGGCTTTGGCCAGACCGTTTGTCGGCCCGTCGGCCCGCACTGCGACCGCTGCACTGCCTCGGACCTCTGCCCATCAGCCTTCAAGAGTGCCCGCAAGAAGCAGCGTCGGTGACGGATTGTCTCGATCCGACGCCGACCCCGTCCCCGACACTGACTCCAAACCCGCGATGGTGGCGAGCTAGCCGGCGACACCATCTGATATAAGTAGCCTTGCTTCACCCTGAACGGTAAGGTTGTTTGGGCGCGTTGTTGCACGCCTCAGAATGAACAACACAGTTCATGATCAAGTCCTCTCCCCACGCTGCCGCCAACCGCCAGCCGATTGGCGTCCCATGGCCGCGCACTCGTGATGCCATCCGCCACGTACGCGCCCATCTGCAGCATGCCATGAGTCGCCGAAGCGGTGATGGGCTGAAAGGAGCATGGGCGAGGCGTGCGAGGCGGCGTACGGCACCCATCACGCGCCTCGCGTTAGCCCCCAAACCCCTTTGCCGCACGACCAACAGACCGCCGACCGACGACCGACGACCGACGACCGACGACCGAGGCCGAGAGCGAGACCGAGGCCGAGGCCGAGGCCAAGGCCGCAACCCACTTCGCTTCGCCATGTCGGCCCACCTCCAAGCGCAGATCCGCCGCAATGCACAGACCATGCAAGAGGCGGTAGCCGACCTCTACCGCTGGCAGGACGACATTGCCAAGAAGGACAAGTCTCTCAAGGACAAGCCTGCCGTCGCAAAGGTACGCCCCTACCCCTACCCCTCCCCCCCCCCCCCCCCCCCTTCCTACCCATACCTAACCACCACCACCACTCACCCCCTCGCCCCACGCAGAAACTCCCTCCCATCCGCGGGACCGCCGCCTCGGGCGTCTCGTTCTCGGACAAGAGCGCCGCGCCAGCACGGACGTCTGGCGGCAAGTCGCGGCGGAAACGCGTCCGCCGTAACAAGCCATCCAAGACTGCAGCTGGCTCTGGTGCTGGCGCTGGGCGCTCCAGTGGCGGGGAGAGCAAAACCAAGGACAAGGGTGAAGCTGGTCGGATCTCGGCGTACGACTACTCGGCTTGGGATCGGTTCGACGTCGACGCCGCCATTCAAGAGATCTCCTCGTCGGCCGAGTACACGTACGAGGACGAGGACGACGGCCCGGTGGAGGCTTCCAGCAGCCAGGCCTCGCCAGAGGAGGTCAAGGCCGAAGGTAACAAGGCGTTTGCGGCAGGCAAGTATGCCAACGCTGTCGAGCTCTACTCGCAGGCCATGGACCTTGATCCGACCAACGCGGTGTACCCTGCCAACCGCGCCATGGCCCACCTGAAGATGAAGGACTACAAGGCCACCATCCGCGACTGCTCGCGTTCGATTGCCCTGGATCCCACGTACTTTAAGTCGTACGCAAGGCGTGCAAGCGCGTACGAAGCGCTCGACAAGCTCGTCGAGGCCAAAGCCGACTACGAGCGGCTTGTTCAGCTCAAGCCGACGACCAAGGCCTACGCCCGCTCGCTGGGCGACGTCGTCCGTAGACTGAAGAATGCCGCCGTTGAGCGCGCGGCCGCAGAGTCCGGCAACACGCCCACCGCCCCGGCTCAGCCCAAGGCTACGACGGCAGCCGGATCGGGAGCCGCAAAGAAGCCGGGCAAGAAGAAAATGGTCATCGAAGAGGTCGCCGAAGAGCCCGCTGCCGTTGCAGACGAGCCGCTCGAAGAGACCATCATGATCCCGGTCAAGGTTGTCGGCGAGCTCCCTGCATACGAGCCCTTTGACGCCCCGGCACCCGCAACGGCGGCTCCGCCTGCAGCATCGACCTCGGCCGCGGCGGCGGCTCCGCCCACGACGGCGGCGCCACCAGCAGCGACGATCCTGCCCGTGGCATCGACCCCGGCCACAATCGATGACGTGCCGACGGTGACGCCGCCGGCTTCGTTGTACGAGTTTCAGCGCGAGTGGGCCACCCTGGCCGCCACCGACCCAACCGCCCTCCCGCTGCTCCTCCACATTGCTCCCGAGAGCTACAAGACGTTCTTCAACACACAGATGACCGAACCGATCCTGGTCAAGATCGTCGACGTCCTCGCACACGCCGTCGCATCCGATGTCGGGCATCCGCTGGCAGATGCAGCCCTCGACTACGCAGCGCGCATGCTCTCCGCCCTCCCCTCGGTCCCACGGTTTGGTATGCTCTCCATGTTCCTGCCCTCCGCCACCAACACCACCATCCGCAGCCTTGTCACCCAGATCAAGTCCTCTCCGACTGCGGCCGCCGCACTTGCGCCCTCGGCCTTTACGCCGTAGTCTCTATCGTACCCTCCCCCCCCGTTTGGGTGGCATCGTGAAAAAATAATGGCTGCCTTTCCGCAATCGGCCACAGCTTTGCCGGGATGACGTGTCCCCAGCCACCCGCCGTCTGACGACGGGAAGACAGGCTGCCGTGGCCAAGACGCAGCAGGCGACACAGACCTTAGCACGGTACACCTAACCCTTGCCTGGCCTTTCGACTGCACACCAACTCGAGGCGTGCGTCACCCGCCTAACCCCGCCAAAGCTGCCGTCATCACCACGCATGCGCTCGCCGGGGCCGTCGCGGCTGTCCCCGCCGAGGCCAACTCCGCCGAGGCCGTCGTCAGCTCCTGCTCCCGGGCTTGAGACAGGAGACACAGGACGCCTCACCTCCCTGCACCAAGCCGAGTCTACCAGTCCTGCAAAGGCATGCGCTGATGCGGCTACCCAGACACCGCTTATTCCAGGACTGAATCCGCTCGCGGACGCCCGCCCGCCGTGGCTTGCCTCTGCCGCCGCTGCTGCTGCTGCTGCTGCTGCTGCTGCTACTGATGCTGCTGACGGCCATGGCTCTGCCTCGTCGTCATGGTTCGAGAGCGATGACGCTGATGGTCATGCCGAGTCCTCGGGCCACTCACCCCTGATTGAAGCCGAGCCGCAGCTTCTGCAGCCCGGTGCAGGCGCGCGGCTGACGGCGCACCGGTCCAGATCGGTCTCGCCGACTGCGCTCCGATCACCAAGCATTGACCAGGCCGGCAACGCTGCCTTGTCCCACAAGCATGCGCACGCTCATGACAGCGGCGGCAGCATGTTCGCGAAAAAGGCAACTCATAGTCGCTCCCTAATCGAGATCGACAGCTCGTCGATCAAGGCCCACTCGTCGCCGCGACTCAACGACGACTTTGCCCCAGAGAACGATACAATCGAACCGGCAGCCGAGCCTGGCAGTGACAGTACTGGAGGTGGCTCTAACGATCTCTTCTTTGACGCTCTAGACGTGCTGCCACCGCCGGCGTCCAACTCGCCGACTTCCGACGTGGAGGCGCCGTCCATCCTTGTGCTCCATCCGTCGGTGGGCGAGTCGGACTTTGCGCGGGCACACTCCGAGTCGCGTCGGGAGCGGTCGTTGTCATCAGACCGGCCGGTGCGGCTTCGGCGGCGGCGGAGGCGCAAGCGGCGGCGGCCGTCGTCTCGCCACACGTCGCAGCGGGCTGCGCGCTCGTGGCGCGAGCCGCGCGGCGGCTCAGACGCCTCGCACGACGGCTCATACTCGCCAACCGTGACGGCCACCGCCACTGCTACCGCCACCGCCACCGCCACTGGCCCAGCGTCGATGGGCGCCGCCACGTGGGCAGCGCAGGGTCGGCAGTCGCCCGAGTTGGCCGACTCGGCCGCTGCCGGGGTGCACGATGACTCGGGCTCGGCCGCCGACAACGGCGGTGACCAACGCATGCGACATGTGGCTTCGGAAAGCAATGTTCACGGGCTTGGCTACCACGCCAACGCGGGTAGCCCAGAGCCGGGCGGCGACATCATCGATGACGATGTGTCTGCCACGCCGGCGACGCCAGCGACCGAGCCGGTCACGCCCAAGCCGTGGCTTCTTGTCGACTACAAGCCTGTGCAGAACGACCCGGAGCAGATGCCCGAGGCTATCATCGAGCGGTTTGCGGCGGCCGAGCCCGAGCACGCCGCCATACTTGCCGAGCTTAAGGCGCATGCAAAGGCGACGTACAACGAGACCTTCCTCACCCAGTTCTGCTCGGACGACCTCGTCTTTCACCGCTACCTTGTTGCCACCCACTGGGAGCTTGAGAAGGCCAAGGAGATTCTGGGTGAGACGTGCGAGTGGTTTACCGAGAACCGCCCGCGCGAGATGGTGTGCGAGACGTGCATGACCGTGCCGGGCTCGCACACCATGTACATCCTCGGCTACGACAAGATCAAGCGGCCGGTGGTGTACCAGACGTTCAAGGGCAACCTCGATCGCGACCCAGACGCCCTCATCCGGCACTCGATTGTGGTCATGGAGTCGATGATCCATTGCATGGCGTCGGGCGTCGGCCAGTGGGTGTGGATCATCGACTACGCCGGCTTTGGCTACTCGTGGGTCAACAAGTCGATGGCCAAAAAGTACGCCAACCTCTTCAACAACTACTACGCCGAGCGACTCGGCGAGATCATGCTCATCGAGCCTCCTTTCCTCTTCTCCGCCCTCTGGCGCTTTGGCAAGCGCTTTGCCGAGCCTGAGACGGTCGCCAAGGTCTCCTTCCTTGCCATGACCGAGACCGAAGACAAGTTCCACCAGCTCTTTGACCCGGACCTCGTCGCTCTCATCAACGAGAAGATGGCCTACTACCGCTCACTTTCCGAGTAACAAACGACCAAGCCATCCATCGATCCCCCCCCCCTTCCTCCTACCCCTAACCAGGTGGCAGCCACATTGGCGCGCATACCTCCGAATCGACCGACCACCTGGAAGCACACCACCGACCGACCACCCGTACCACCACAACCACCACAACCACAACCACCACACCCGTAACACTCTTCTCTGCGCAACGTACGCCATTCCTTTTCTCCCACACACCTCCTTGCCCCTTACACACCTTCCCCCCCCTCCCCCCTGCCCCCCCTGCCCCCCTTGCCCCCCCCCCCCCCTCCTCTGCCTTCCTCTGCCGTTGCCATCCACCATCGCAGTGCGACTCACCCGCTCCCCTTCCACCCCCCCCCCCATACCCTCCCTCTCGCTCCCTCACAGAATATCATGAGCGCACATCCTCCCGCACACTATCCCCCTCCGGCTGCCCCTGGTGGCCCTGGTGCTCCTGGTACTACTGGTGCTCCTGGTGCTCCTGGCGCCCCTGCTCAGGGTTATGCACCTCCGCAGGGCCATGGCTATGCCGCCCCGCCCCCGCCACCTGGCCAAGGCTATGCTCCCCCGCCGCCGGCACCTGCGGCTCAGCCTGGCCCGCCTGCTGGTTACGGCGGAAGCTATGCTGCGCCTCCCGCTCCAGCTCCAGCACCGGGTGGCTATGGTGGTGGTGGTGGCTACGGCGGCGATCGTGGCGGCTACGGTGGTGGCGATCGCGGCGGATACGGCGGTGACCGCGGCGGATACGGTGGTGGCGATCGCGGCGGATACCGAGGTGGTGACCGTGGAGGCTACGGTGGTGGTGGTGGCGGCGGCTACCGCGGAGGTGACCGCGGCGGCTACGGCGGTGGTGGCTATGGCGGTGGTGGCGGCTACGGCGGTGGCGGCGGCTACGGCGGTGGCGGTGGCTACGGCGGTGGCGGCGGCTACGGCGGCGGTGGTGGTGGCTACGGCGACCCAATGGGCCAGCTCGGCGCCAACCTGCAGGCTGTTGACTACTCGCAGGAGACGGTGGTGCCGTTCCAGAAGGACTTTTACTTTGAGCACCCGAACGTCGCCGCCATGACCGATGCCGAGGCCCAGGAGTTCCGCACCAAGGCCGACATCACCACTATTGGTGACAATGTGCCCAAGCCCATCCGCACTTTTGAGGAGGCCTCCTTCCCGGGTACGAGGCGACGTGAGTGTGTGTAATTTTCGCCTCCCCAGAGGCTGGCGACCTCCCCAGAGGCTTGCGCCCAAGAGGTCCAGCCGCCTGCCAGCCCGCACTGTCAACGCGGGCGGCGAGGCGGCACTACGATGGTCGACACAGATCCAGGACGCAGAGGTGGGCAGCTGAAGCTGCTTCCTAACGTACAGACATGGCGGCAGCTAATGGCATTGCCTGCAATCCAAGCCGCAGAGTGAGACCGTGCACATAATGTCGAGGGTACGTACGCCAATGGTTTCCATGCTCCATTGGCGCACGCCAACTCCCCCCTGGATGTATGCTCTGCTCTCTCTTCCTCTGCCTGCGGCAAGCAGGTGTCCACGCCCTCGCTCTCCATCCTGGAACTCTGATCGGCCTCGGGTGTGCAAACCTTCCCCTGCCTCCTTTTCATCCCTGCACCCCCCCGTCTTGACTCACCTTGCATTCCCCTTTATTCTTGTAGAGTACATCATGGTGGAGATCCAGCGTGCCGGGTTCCTCAACCCGACGCCGATCCAGAGCCAAGCGTGGCCGGTGTGCATGTCGGGCCGTGACATGATTGGCGTCGCGGCGACCGGCAGTGGCAAGACGCTTGCGTTCCTCTTCCCGGCGGTTGTGCACATCAACGCACAGCCGCTGCTGCAGCGCGGTGACGGGCCGATTGCACTTGTCCTCGCGCCGACGCGCGAGCTTGCATGCCAGATTGAGAAAGAGTGCACCAAGTTCGGGCGGTCGTCGTCGATCAAGAACACTTGCGTGTACGGTGGCGCGCCCAAGGGCCCGCAGCGTGGAGCACTCCGGCGAGGCGTGGAGATTGTCATTGCCACGCCTGGGCGCCTCATCGACTTTCTGGAGCAGCGGGCGACAAACCTGCGGCGCGTGACATACCTGGTCCTCGACGAGGCCGATCGCATGCTCGACATGGGCTTTGAGCCGCAGCTTCGCAAGATTGTGGGCCAGATCCGGCCGGAGCGGCAGACGGTCATGTTCTCGGCCACCTGGCCGCGCGAGGTCGAGTCGCTCGCCCGCGACTTTCTCAAGCAGCCGGTCCAGGTCAACATCGGCTCGACGGACCTGTCGGCCAACACCGACATTACCCAGATTGTGGAAATGGTCTCGCGGTACGACAAGAAGTCGCGGGTCTTCCAGCTCCTCAACTCGATTGACCCGACGGCCAAGGTCCTCATCTTTGCCAACACCAAGCGCATGGTGGATGACCTGACCCGTGACATGCGGTCGTCGGGCATCCGTGCCCTTGGTCTCCACGGCGGCAAGGAGCAGGCCGAGCGCGAGTTTGTCCTCGGCTCGTTCAAGTCTGGCGAGGCGCCGATCATGATCGGCACGGACGTTGTTGGCCGTGGCATCGACGTTGACAACATTGCCGTCGTCATCAACTACGACCTGCCCACCAACATCGAGGACTACATCCACCGCATCGGCCGGACTGGCCGCGCTGGAAACAAGGGCACCGCCTACGCATTCTTTGATCCGGACAACGACTCCAAGGCCGCCCGCCCTCTCCTCAAGATCCTTGAGGACGCAGAGCAAGAGATCCCGCCCGCCCTTCGCGATGTCGCCGCCTCGTCGCGCGGCCGCGGTGGCGGTGGCCGCCGCCGTGGTGGCTACCGCCGTGGCGGCGGCGGCCGTCGCAACGCAGGCCGTACCGGCTCGAACAGCCTTCCGCTCGGCGGTGGCGGTGGCCGCTACTAGTTGTGTTGTGTGTTGTAAAGGAACTTGTTATTGGGTCGTGCAAATATAGTGTCTCTTGGCCGTAGCCAACATCAGTCTCTCTCGGCCTCGATCGCAGCCGAGTACGCCGGCGGAAGCAGCTGCCGCAGATACATGCGGATGTCCCGCCGGCGCTTCTTGGCAGCCAGCAGACAAAGTCCAAGGCCGATCTCCATCAGCACCGCACCCACGGCCTGCTGGATGGCGGTGATCCGGATGCTCGACTCGGAGCGCCAGCACGCCGAGTTCTGCGCCACCCGCTTTTCATCAACCGCGCGCTGGCACTCGATGAGGATGGTGATGAGCCGCCAGAGCGCACAGGCGGCAGCAAAGCCAAAAACAACCCACGCCATGGCCTTGGCCCGGCCCAGCCGGACCCGCCGCACCTCCCATCCTCCAAAGTTGGAAGCGAGCGCCGTAAAGATCGAGGCGATGATGGCCAGGCCGGCAGCGACCATGTTGGTCACATACAATGCGTCCGACTCGGCCGAGGTCACATGCAAATGCGTGAGCCTGGCCATTTCGTGAACCGCCATTCCACCAATCAATGCACCGAGTGTCGCCAGCGCCGCCGCCCCGACCGAGGTCCACTCCGTCCCGCTGGGCTCGAGCTCATTAACCCGCGCCGACACCGGTAACCAGACCGAGCCATCGTCGTTAACAGCCATGGGCACGACCTTGCTCTGATGATGCGGCATTGTCTCCGCAACCAACACACCAACTAACAAGGAAGAGCGGTGGGTGCGGGACGAAGCAAGTCTTCCTCTCCCCCATCATCTCATCCAAGGAAACGCGCGTTGCGGAAGGCGCTGCGGCTGTTCTGCAAACGAACCCAATATTCTGCCCCTTTATCATTTTGTTCCGCATCTTCCCCGACCACGCCCACCCCAACACACACACTCAGCTCAGATGCACCCGATCAATATGGGCAGGACAATACTTCCTGTTGATCGAGCAGGCATGCGAGTTGTTTGCGCAAAGCTCGTTATGGTGGTTGTCGTGGTCATGGCCCTTGCAGGCATCGCCCATGGAGACGGCACAAACGTTTTGGGTGTGACGCAGGCGCTCCAGAGCTCAACGGTTATGTATGTGGACATTGTTGATCCCACGACGGAGCGGATTTCTTGGATGGGCTCGGGCACGCTCAAGATCTACACGCCCGGAACGTCGACCCAGGAAGGGAGCCTAGTGTGGAGCGGCTCGCCGTCGCCGCCGGCGTTGTACACCCCGACGATGGCAGGAATGTACGGGCTGGTGGTGAGCGAAGACCAGGTGTACAACACGCCATGGGACATCGACGTGTACTCGACGACGACGTCGGCAACGATGGGCGGGCGGCTGTGGAGCTACCAGTGGAATCTGCGCGCAGGATCGTTCAGCCAATCCGACGCCGTCGATGCCTCGGTCTGGGCGATCTTCTCGACTGTTCTAGGCCTCAAGCTTGTGGAGACACGGTTCGAGGGCCTCGCTGGTTTCGCATACTCACTCGTCGGCTCAACAGTCGGCATCGCGTCGGCCACGCCGCAGTACAAGTCGGTGATGCAGAGCGGGAACACGGTCTCGCCCGAAGTCCGGCTCTACATCAATCAGCCGGGGCACATCACACTCTCGCCAGACGTCCCGTTCATCAACTTTCACGGCATCCGCTTCATCACGCTCGGCTGCGGCAACTTTTATTCAAAGTGCGAGAACGTGGTGAGCGACAAGCTCCACGTCCAGTTTATGTTTGAGACCAATGCCGCCGGCGGGCGCTATCGGGTGGTGTGCGATACGGATCAGGATGGCATCTTTGACTTTGTGCGCGAGACCGATACGGCGCTGCTCGGCGCGACAGTCAACGGCACTAACTACGTCGAGTGGGACGGCCGCGACGATAGTGGCGCCACCGTCTCACCCGGCAACTACCAGTGCAAGGTCTACGTCTACCTCACCGAGATGCACTTCCCCATGATCGACATCGAGACCGTTTACCCGGGCCTCCGCATGTACGATCACTCCACGGGCTCGCCGGTGGCGCAGACCATGTACTGGAACGATGCCGCGGTCGGCGCGCCGGTCAACATGCCCAATGGCCAGCCGGGTGCCACCAACTCGGGATGCTGTGGCGTGTCATCGGGCGCATCGTCAGATGCGACGGTGCCCAACACCAATGCTCGCGCATGGGGCAACTTCGACTCGGGCACCAAAGGTGATCTTGCCATCCTCAACACCTTTTCACTTGTCGATCCCGTCATCTCGAGCGAGTTTACCATCTCGGTCGGCCAGCCGTCGATGTGTGAGACCGCAGAGCTGTATATCATCGACACGGTGGTGGAGGAGGCCAACTCAGGCACGCCGACGGTCACCGTTCCCATCGCTGTTTCGTCGTTCATTGCGTCGGACGTGACACTCGCGTACGCCACCGTCGATGGCACCGCCACCGCGGCCGACAGCGACTACACGCCAGCCAGCGGAACAATCGTCATTCCAGCCGGCGACTTTTGCAACTCGATCACCCTCACGGTTGGCGGCGACACTGCCGTCGAGTCGGACGAGTGGTTCTTTGTCGACATTTGGCAGGTCGCCGGCCCGGCGATCATCATCGTCGAGCCAAGAGCCAACGTGACGTTGCTCAACAACGACTTTCCGCCGCCGCCGCCGCCATCGCCGCTCCCGCCACCGCCATCGCCGCCGCCGCCATCGCCGCCGCCGCCATCGCCGCCTCCCCCACCACCGCCATCGCCGCCACCACCGCCGCCGCCGTCGCCGCCACCGCCGTCGCCACCACCGCCGCCACCGCCATCGCCACCGCCGTCGCCACCGCCATCACCTCCCCCGCCGTCGCCGCCACCACCTCCTCCCTCGCCCCCGCCGCCACCGCCGCCGGCTGTAGTCCGCATGGCAGCAGCAACTCTGGCTGTCACTGAACCATCGTTCGGCACTCAAGCGCTGAGTGTGTTCATCACGCTCAGCGCACCGTCGCCGTCACCGGTTACCGTCGACTTGGCCACATCGATCCCCAGCGAGTCGAGAGCAACCGCAGCCGACCTCGTCCTCACGCAAAGCACGATTGTCATTGCCGCCGGTGACACCAGCGGCACCTTTACGGCCACTGTTGCTGCCGATGACTGGTACGACGACGGCGAGACGTTTGCAGTGACGCTCACCGGCGTCTCTGGCCCGGCGGTCCTCGACTCGAGCGCGACGACCACCACCGTCACTATCAACGACTCCGGACCCGAGCCAGTCCTGACTGCGATCGTGAGCCAGCAGTTGGCGGCAGAAGGCAGCGCTGGCGAGGAGCACTCAGTCACCATCCAACTGGAGCTCTCACGTCCCGCAGAGCCTGCGCTCAGCGTCGCTATCTCCATGACGGATGACTCGGAGGCCAAACTCGGGGAGGATGCCAAAGTCGGATCCGTCTCGGCGCGGGCGGACGGCGAAGAGACAATCACGATTCCGGCTCTCGCCACTGCGCACAACATGAGCATCATCGTCATCGGCGACCGTGACTACGAGATGGACGAGGATCTTAGGCTCGTGCTGGATCTGAGCGCTCTCAACACTCCGCCCGCGACCGTCACAATTGTGATTCCCAATGATGATACTGAGCCCGAAGTCGATGTTGAGGCAGACGACACCGATATGAGCGGTTCAGTGGTGGCATCGTTCCGCATGGTCAACATCACAGTGCTGCTTGCGGCGCCAAGCTATGAGGCCGTGGTCGTCTTTATGGACATCACGCTGCTGCAGGGCGACGACCCGTTGTACGCCACAGACGCGGACATCATTGGCTTCACCCCTGTCGACGGATCGTACACGACAACAATCACCATCCCTCCCGGCCAGACCACGGTCGTGGTTCCAATCTACCTCCACGAAGCCAAAACGGCGCGACCGATGAAGACGTTCAACGTTCAGGTCACATCCGTGGTCAACGGCGAGCGGTCTGAGCGCGCAGCAACACCCCTGCAAGTCAACATTCCCAGCTACGAGCCGGACGGAAACTCGAACTCGAACGCAAGCACGGAGTTTGGAGACAAGATTGGCAACTGGTGGTGGATGCTCATCCCCATCTGCGCCATCTTCATCACCTGCTTGTGCTGTTGCTGGCTCGCACTGGCCTGCTACAACGATGATGATGAAGAAGCTCCAGTCGTAATGGAGCAAGCGCCCGAGGCAGCAGCAGCTGAGGGTGACACCCAGCCAGCCAACAAGCCGGTGCGAGTTCGGAAGCGTGTCAAGCGACGCAAGAACGGCGATGTGAGCCATGACGCTCAAGGCGCGGGCATGACAGCCACACAGATGTCCACACTTCACCCAGCAGCAGCTGTCGATGACCACGAGTCCGTCTCATGCGGCACGTTCTCGTCGTCGTCGTCCTCACTCGCGCACTCTGAGGGCAAGATCCGTGGCCCGGCGCTGATCAACATCTCCGGTCTTGGCGACCACGATTTGTCGCCTCTGTTCTCCGCAGAAAGCCACGAAGACATGACAGCGGCTGCCCCGGAGCGGCTGTCGCGGCGTGGGAGGCGGCGGTCTCTCCTTGCGCACGACGATGACGAAGCAGCCAAGATTCGGGCCATGCGGGCGGCGCCGCGGCGACGGTCAGTGTGTGCCGAAGCGATGGCGCGCCCCAAGACCGAGCCCGATGCAGTCGCGATGCCCGCTACTGCGGGCGCCAACTATCGGCGAGTTCGGCGGCGGTCGATCGCACACGGCTCCACGCTCGGCGTTTCGCACGGTCCGCGGTTGACGAGCGCGACACGCCCGCGCTCGCGCTCGCGCTCGCCATCTCAGGACGTTTCCGGTGAACGGCGGTTCGCAGGTCATATTGCGGCACTGCGGCGGCGATCGGTAACCGGCACAGTTGAGCCGTCACACGCGAGCTTCATGCCTGCGCCGCGGGTCCACACCGCCAGCAAGCGGAACACGGGGCGCTCCGCATCGCGGGCCAAGAGCCCGGCGTCGCGGATCCAGCAGCGGACCAAGAGCCCGACGCGATCGGCGGCACACGTCAGCGTCGAGCCGGACGACTTTACGGCCTCGCTCAACAACTACCGGATCTCGTAACCGAGCTGGCGATACGCGAAGGGTTACAGACCCGGCAGCTCACTGCGAAGCCTCTCTTTATCTTTTTACCCACACATCATTAACATTCCTTTCCCTCCTCCACATGCGGCATGTCATCCATCCGATGATCGACTGCAGCACAGAGGGGGAAGGGAGCACCTGACTCGATCGACGATGGCTGCGACGCGATCTGCCGAGACGGCAGATGGCGGAGGGGGACGCGGAGCGAATGGATGCTGCGAGCTGTTTGTTCCAGGTCGGCTGTGTCTTGTCGGCGAGCACTCTGACTGGGCGGCGTCTGCTGATGCGCCCGGGGCGGCGCTGGTGGTGGCTACCCCGGTGGGATTGCGTGGCCGGGTACAGTGGCGGGTGGGCGAGGCGGCGAGAGGGATGACCATCCGGATTACCTCGCAGCTGCCAGACGGGACGGAAGTCGAGGTCGAGGCTGAGAGCGAGGACGCGCTGCGGGCTTTGGCTGCCAACCGTGACAACAAGCTGTGCTACGCGGCTGGTGCTGCAGCCGAGGTTGTGGCTCGCCGCGAGTGGGCCGAGGCCGGCGCGGCGCGGCAGCTGACATCAGTGGAGATTGCGGTAAGCGTGGCAGGCCTCCCGCTGGGCAAAGGGCTCTCGTCGTCGGCGGCGCTGTGTGTGCTGGTGGTGAAGGCGCTGGCCGCGGCTGCCGCCGTGGACTGGCCGCCGACTCTGGTGATGGCCATCGCGCACGCCGGCGAGCTCGCTGCGGGCTCGCCTTGCGGCCTGCTTGACCAGATTGCACCCGCGCATGGGCCGGGCGCGTATCGCGTCGGGTTTGGTGGCGAAGGCAAGGTGACCGTGGAGCGGGTAGTCGTCGGCGGGCAGATCGCGCTGGTGGTCATTGATCTTGGGGCAGCCAAGGACACGCGGGCGATTCTTGAAGGACTACAGCAAGCGTATCCCAATGCACAGAGCGCTGCAGATTGTGCATTGCATGCTCTGCTCTCAGACAAAGCCCGGGCGTTTGTGGCGGCAGCTGGCGACGCGCTAGTTGGCGGGGACGCAAGACGGCTGGGCAAGGTTCTTGTTGAGGCGCAGCAGGCGTTTGACGAGGTGGCGATTCCGATGGTGCCAAGCGAGCTCGCAGCGCCGGTGCTACATGGCCTGCTGACGGATGCGACGGTGGGCGAACTTGTGTGGGGCGGCAAGGGGGTGGGATCGCAAGGGGACGGATGCGCGCAGTTTGTGGCGCGGAGCGCCGAGGCAGCCGAGGCGCTTGTGACATATGTAGGCGAGACGTATCCGAGCATGAGTGGGCTAGTGCTTTGCCTCGAGGCCGAGTAGCGTATGTTCACTCTCAGGTGCGCCGCCTAGCCCCACGCGGGGCGGCGCGAAGGGGGGGGGGGGGGGGGATAAAGGAAGAGCGCTAGATCTTGATGATCTTGGTGGTGCGGCCGGTGTTGAGCGAGGCAAGCTGCTTGCGGGCGCGCTCGCGGACGTCGACCTCACATTGGTGAGCGTAGCGATAGCGATGCTTGCCGCAAAAGACAAAGTCGCACTCGCAGGTGAAGCCATGCAGACCAACCTTCTTGCGGCACTCGTAGCAGCGGTTCTTCTTGCCCTGCGGGCGCTTGCGCTTGCGCGACTTGCCGCTGCTTGCGGACGCCGTGGCCAAGGGCTGGACAGGAGGCGGGGCAGCCTCTGTGGATGGCGCGGGCACTGGCGCAGGCGCAGGCGCAGGCGTGGCCGGTATGGGGATAGCTTTGGGCGCCAGCGAGTCGGCGGGGCCGGGAGCGATGGCCGGTGGAGGAAGGGCAGAGGCTTCGGGCGAGTCTTGCGACAACGTCAGCGCGCCTGGAATGAGTGGCGTTGCTCTCATAGGCACCGGAGCTGACGGACGCGGAACACGATCACCACCGGCCGCAGCCGCATCCGAGATAGCCTCGGGCGGCAAATCGGCTTTGCGGGCCCGGGGGATGTCCATCGAGGTGAGACCGAGGCACCCTGCCGAGTCTGACCGCGGCTTGGAGGCAGCAAAGCAGACCGAGCACAGTCCGTCGTTCTGGGCGGTGCTACTCGTGCAAGAGAGGGGGGATGAGTGAGTGTGTGGCTGCGGCACAAGGCTACCCTGAAGTCAGCCAAATTGTGAATTGGGACATTCTTCGTTCGCCCGAAGAAGGGACTCAGCACAATGGCAATGACATACCCACAGAAGCCACAGCCTGCGGCGCACTCCAGTCCTGGGTTCTTGGACGTCATATGCGGCGAGCGAGTTCGCTCGACGACAATGACCGTGTAGAGGGTAGGGTGGGGGAGAAGGGGGGTGGGGGTGGGGGGGGGGGTGGGGGTGGGGGTGACTTTGACTAATACGACGAGTGTACCCGGCTCTGTGCCGCGTTCCGCCCTGGTGGTGGAGGCAAGGCGGGTGACGTTGGCTGCTGGCGGAGCTCGCGCGCGCGCGTAATTGAGGAACAAACGCGGGGGAGGGGAGGAGAGGTCATGCGGAGCATCACAAATTTTGATGGTGAATGGGATTGCCGGGACAATGGCTACCTCTTGTTCGTGAAGCGCATCAATCGCATCAAACCGAGGCGGAGGGGGGACGGGACGAGGAGGGCAGTTGGAGGGCAACACGTCTCCTCGCGACAGGCAGGGAGTGGAGCAAGTGAGAGTCAAGCGAGAGAGAGAGAGAGAGAGAGAAAGAGAGTAGAAAAGAACAAGCATGTCGCTCTTCCAGAGGCTCTTTGGCCACATCATGTCCGAGGCCCTGGTGGAGAAGCTCTCCGACTCGACAACCTTCCAGCGGTTTGCCGTCCGATCGACGCAGATGGTGCAGGGAGCTGGACAGAAGGCTGCGGATGTGTCAACGTCTGTCTCATCGGGTGTCAAGACAAAGGTGGTGGGCTCGGTCTCCGAGTCGGAGGCTGCGGCGGCGGTCAAGTCGGAGCTTGATGCCGTCAAGTCCAAGTGGGCGGCGGCCAAGGCCGAGTTTGTCTCGTCGGTCAAGGAGGTTGCCGACAAGTACAACAAGTGAACAAGTGAACACCATCTGATCTATGCTGTATCTGCTACTTGGGGGGAGGGGGGGGGGGGGGGGAGGGGGATGCGCTTGTCGGGCTGCTCGAGGCGATCGGGAGGGCAAGCATCGGGGGCCAATTGAGACGATCTGGGGATAGCCAACACGGCCGATTGAGACGATCTGGGGCAGACATCGGCCTCTCTTTGTCAGCCATCATCGGCTTGCAGCCTACCTCCTGTCGATCTCGGTCATCGATGGGCGACTGTTGACCATCCCGGATCCCGGTCCACACACGGCAAGCCACACACAGTGTCGAGCGACACACACAACTACACACACACGCACAGTCACACCAGTGACACAAGCATAATGACAGATGGCGTGGTGATGATAAGGATGGCACGATGCCTGTGGCGGTAGCCGTCGATCAACTGTGCCAATGGCGGCTGGCGGCGCAGGCGGTGACAAAGACGGAGGGAGGGAAGAAGGGGCGAGGAACAAGCAGACAGTGGTCACTGCTCTCCAGATCGGGGGGGGAGGGAAGAGGAAGCAGGCCGAGTAGCCAACCGCAACAATATGGAGGAGGAGGCCAAAGGCATCCAAGAGCGTGAGACACCCATACTTAAGCATGTTAATGCGCTGCTGACGGTGCATGGACTGCCACGCCACCCGCGGGCAGAGCTAAAGCGAGTCCTTGCGGCGTACGACCTCAACACTGACGGAGCGCTCGACGCTAGTGAGCTGCGGCTGCTGGTCCATGACATGTATGCTGTGGCCATTGCTGAGGCTGCTGACAAGGGTGCGCCCGAGTGGTACCTCCGCAAGGCCCGCAAGGCCCTCGAGTCGTCGCGTGGAGAGTCTGCCGTCGCTGCCGCTGTCCACGAGCTCCTCGACCTGCAGGCCGCACACGGTGGTGTCCTTGACTGGGACGCCTTTGTTGACACTCTTGAGCAGCAGAGCACAGAATCGGCCATCCGCCGCTCCAAGTACTGGCGCCTCGCTCCGATCTGCGACATCAAAATCGTGCTCGACGATTTTGTCGATCCCTATCGCAAGGTCAAGATCTTTGTGGCTGGCGGCATGGCTGGCGCCGTGTCCAAGACCGTCGGTGCTCCACTCTCTCGCGTCACCATCTTGCGCCAGACCGCCACCCAGCGCGGTGTTGCCAGCCAGCCGTCGGTCGCTGCCATGGTCCGTGACATCTGGGCCCGTGAGGGCCTCCGCGGCTTGTTCCGTGGGAACGGCCTCGATGTCCTGCGATCCATACCGTCGCAGGGCATCACTTGGCTGGCGTACGACGTTTTCAAGTCGCTTCTTCGCGAGTACGACACATCCGATTCCCAGTCAGCGTCGCGGTTTGCCGCCGGCGGCCTCGCTGGGTGCGTCGCCATTCTCACCACCTATCCGCTCGATCTCATGCGGACCCGCATTGTGTGCTCCACCAGCAGTGCTGCTGGTGCCGAACCGTCGGTCGTCGGCGAGCTCCTCCGCGTTGCCCGCTCTCAAGGCCCGCTGGCACTCTACCGCGGTGCCGGCATTGCCTGCCTGGAGAAGGGTCCGTCACTGGCCATCTCGCTCGGCATGGCCGACGTGCTCTCGACCAAGCTCCGCGCCGCCGGCGCACCCGACTCGATGCTCACGTCGTTGGCGTCGGGCGTCGCCGCCGGCGCACTCGCCTCGTCGGCCACCTACCCGGCCGACCTGGTGATGAAGAACCTCCAGCTCGACGGTGCTGCCGGCTCGACGCGCCAGTACCTGGGCGTCGGCGACTGCATCACCAAGCTCTTCCTCCGCTCCGGCATCCGCGGCTTTTACCGCGGACTCTCGGCACAGCTGATGAAGAGCATGCCCATGGCCGGCGCCTCGTTTGGTGTCTACTCGCAGGCCCGTTCCTGGCTCGGCCTCTACCACGTGCCGGACGCGTGAATAAAGAGCTCAGGTGAGGCCGCAGTTAGGCGTGTGGTTTACAGTTACAGCTTTGCCTTGCGCTTGGCGTTCCAGTCAACAAGCTCGGGAAAGAACGGGCGGATGTAGACGGCGAGATAGGCGAGGAATGGAAAGTAGACCTTGCGCCGGCCGTGATCGATAGCGTCCATCACGTGGTCGAGGCACTCGTCAACGGGCATGCGGTCATCCCCCTCGGTGCCCGAAGATTCACCCGCCACATCTTGTGAGGTCATGTTGAGGACCAAGTTGTCACGAAACGCCGTCTTAACCGACGGCGGGCAGACGATGGTGATCTGGACATCCGACTCGTTGACCTCCATCCGCAGCGCCTCAAAGAAGCCGGTCACCGCAAACTTGGAGGCGCAGTAGCCGGCACGATACGGCAGGCCGATTTCGCCCGAGAGTGACGACATGACCACGATCTGGCCCTTGCCGGCAATAAGGTGTGGAAGTGCGGCCTTGGTCACGTACACCGCGCCAAAGAAGTTGATCCGCATCAGTGTCTCCAGCACCGACATGTCGTCGGTGGCCTGGAACAGAGCATGGGCGCCGACGCCCGCTGAGAGCACCACAATATCAATGCGGCCAAAGGCGTCCAGTGCGGAAGCCACCAGCGCGACCGCCTCGTCCTCCACCGCCACATCGGTGGGCACAACCACAGGCAGCGGCGTGCCTGGCGGAGCCACAGCCGCACACGCCGCCGCCACGCCTGCCAGCCGTGCCTCGCCTCGTGCCGCAAGCACCAATCGGGCGCCTCGCGCAGCATACCGGAGCGCAAGCCCGGCCCCCAACCCCGACGATCCGCCAGTGATGACCACCACCGGTGCCTTCCGTGGCACCGTCGTCCGTCGATAGTACCGTGCCTCCCGCAGCGTCTTGGCTCCCCGCCACGCCACCGCCAGTCCAGCCAGCGAGAGTCCCGCTGCGGTCAGCGCCGCCTTGCCTGCCCGCACCACCACTTGAGGTATGCTCATAACCTCTTGTCCGCCAGCCGCTTTCCTCTCTCGAGTCGGCTGTCCTACTCTAGGTCCTGCTCCTGGCTGTCTGCTCTCCGCCCGTGACCTTCCAATCTGCCGCTGTCCGCTGCCGCACCCACGCAGCTGGCACGCGACAAGGGGAATCGGCGCATGTATTATTGCTGCAGGTTGCGAGACAGAGAGCCATCACGAGTGGGCAAGGAGGACGTCGGCAACGTCCGCGACAGTGAGGGCACAGGTCGGGGCGCGGAGGGCAGTCTCGATGACGGCGAGGAGATCGACGGCGGTCATCGACGACGGAACAAGGCGCCAGAGCCGTGGGAGCCACTGCTGGGCTGTGGTCGAAGCCAGGACTGCGATGGCCAAGCTGGAGAACAGCGCTTCCTCGCTCGGAACGCCAGGCGCCAGCTCAGCACCACCGAGCGCGTCCTCGACGAGCACAAAGGCGGCGTCAAAGTCGGCGCGAGCGACGTAGACCTGGACAGCCTGCGGCACTTCAAGCGCGAGTGCATACAGCTCGGCGACAGCCGACGCCACATCCTGATCGGCTGCAGCAATGGCGCCTAGCGCGTGGCCAAGCTGCGCGGCGGCGAGGTAGGCAGCGCACTGCCGCGGCTCTGGCGCCAGCGCCAGCGACCGCACCGCACCGACAACTGCTGATGGGCGGTGAAGAAAGAGGGCGAGGACCACAAGCTCGAAAAGGCTCGCCTCACAATCGTCCCCTGAATGGAGCGCAAGGCCGGGATGAGTGTCGGCAAACGGGCGGGCTTCGCCACCCTTGACGGGCGAGGCGTGGGCTTGCAGCAGCGACGAGTACGCCGATACAGCGGCCGACGTCTCTTTCTCGCAGCGCAGGTGCGGCACGAGCCGGCCACTCGCCAGCGCGGCAGGAAGCAGGGCGTCGAGAACTGGCCCGGGCGCAGCCCGGATCCATGCAGCCAGGATCGAGAGTGGCATCTCCACGAGCCGAGCATGCGGTACAGGACGGTTGGGCATGTGTGGGCCAAGTGCGTCCGGCAGCTGTCGGCTTGCTGGCTCACTGTACCTGCAAGCCTTGGTCCGCGCCTCGAGATAAGCCACGAACTCGGCCTTGAGCACGCGATTGAGCGGAGTAAAGGTGTGGAAACTGAGACGGGCATCGTCGACAGCATCCGCAACAGCAGCATCAGCGGTTGCGCCGGCCAGCGCTCCGGGCAACAGTGCCAGCATGAGCGCAGGATTCTGCACAAAGTCGAGGACGGCGGCCGCGACATCGGCCAGAAGCTCAGCCTGGGTAGAAGCACCCTCGCCGCGCGGCGCGGTCTCGAGCGCAGCCTGGGCTTCAAACCCGGCGTCGAGCAAGTACTTTGCAGTATGCCGCGGCAGCGACCATGCCTCGCACAGGCGCGCGGCGTCGCGGAGGAGGTGCGACGTCACCGACGGCTCGACAAGCCGAGCAGCGCGCGTGCTGACGTTGGACAGGCGGAGGAGAAACATGCCACCCGAGCCCCAGACGCCCACGTCACCCGGCCCAAGACGCCGGCCATCGGCGACCGACGGCACAACGACAAGAGTCCCGCGCAAGTCGGCAAGGCTCACCCCACTGGGATACGCGATCTTGCCCAACAGGCTGCCGTGGGCAACATGGTAGATGCCGAGGGCAGCTGGCGCAACAAGACCAACAACCTCACGGGTTGCCACCAGCGCCTTGGCCTGCAACGGATCCCAAGGTGCGCCATCTGAGCCCAGGCCGGGCGGTGATGGGACTTGATGTAGGCAGCCGAGCGGCTGAGCACGGAGAACAACGCGCTTTGGCATTGAAGACTGGGTGTCCGGCGCCGACACCACGTACAGCCGGCCACTCAAAGTAAGGACAACAAGCTCGCCGGTCGAGGTGTGAATGGTCGACGCAATGACAGGGCCGTCAAGGCTCGAAGGAGCAAGCTCGGCAGCGGCAAGCCGGTCGCGAGACACACTGGCGTAGGCTACCGACCAATCCTCGTCGGTGGCTACCATCCACAGGTTCGATCGCGAGCCAAGGAGCGCCGAGAGGCCACAGACCGAAGAGCGGAGCTCGACGACGGGCGGCCATGGAGCATCAGCGTGGACTGGGAGCGCAAGAGCGCAGATCCGTGAGCCCGAATCAACATCCCGGTTCTTGGGCGCGGCAGACTCGTCATCAGACTCGTCGTCCGAGCCGCGGCTGGTGACACTCGAGAGTACCGGCGGATCAGCGTCTGCCCAGACCACGACCCGTGCTTCCGGAACGTAGGCCGAGGCAGCGACGGAGCCAAGGCGGGGAACATCACAGCGAGCGTAGGGCAGCCAGGGTGAGGTGCCATCACACGGGGCATCGCTTGGCTTGGTCCAGACCGAGACAGCATCCGGTGCAGCTTCGATAACCACCAGGTGCAGGAGGCCCTTTGCATCCGGGGCGAGAAAGACAGCGACAGCAGGCGTTGGGAGCGAGTGGACGAGCCAGGGACCGGCCGGTGGCGGGGCGTCTGGCACCTCTGCCCCGACTAGCCAATCAGCAAGTGCTTGGCCTGCTTCGGGTGAGTGGACAGCGTTGGTCACCGCCACCACGCTTCGTCCGCCATGGACAGCCACCACAAGGTGGCCTGTGGCGGCAGCGACAGCAGTGACCGACGCCTGCCCACCGGCAAGAGCTGCTCCGCCCGGGAGGCACGCCCATACTGGTGCAATAGGCGCAAGGCTGCCCACGGAGCTTCCGGCCATGGAGGTGGAGAGTGGCGTGAGGTGAGAGGGGTGTGACTCGCTGGTTAGTGGCGAACGATTCGCGGGAGCGGGGTGCGGGCAGAGACGGCAGCGGACTAATGAGGCACAGATACTGGGTGGTAGAGTACATTGGGGATCAGGATCATCGGTGGACGCGGAGCGGGCGAAGCGCTGAGGGGGCGGGCCGGCGCACATAGGCTGACGGAGTTGGGGTGTGGGAGCGCAGGGTTGAGATGGCCGATGGTGTGTGGGCGCGAGAGGTTGAGGTGCCGAGACGGCGCGAGGATAGCGGCCGGGTGGTCAAAGGGCGCGAAGCGGCACTGCTATTGCTCCCGATGCGAGGAAGAGCAGCGAGGGTGGAGAGCGCTGGAATGTGCGGCGAGAGCGAGGACGCGGCACGGCGGGCACGTCGCGAGACTAGAGGCGAAAGGGCCGGCGTGGACGTCGGGGGGGAGTCGGAGGCTGCGCGCAGGGCGGCCTTGGCGGCGGCGGCGGCAGAGGCGTCAAAGGAGGAAATGGACTTGCGGACAGAGCGGATGCGAGCCTGCAAGGTGGCAATCGAGTCTGAAAGGCGCGGAAGCGCAGCGTGCGAGGCATTGGCGCCCGCAAGCGAGTGACCGGTCACCGACGACCAAGCCGAGGTCTCGAACGTCACTGATGACTCGGATGTCAGGGCCGACTCGTACGCAGGCTGCGACGATGACGGATTCGAGTCGTCGTCCGCCGAGTCGGATGACTCGGCGACAGCATCCGGATCGTCGTCAGAGAGTGAAGCAAGAAGTGAGCGCTTGGTCGAGCGGGGAGGCGTCGAGCTCGATTGCGGACGGAAAGGCGAGGCCTGGATCCGCGCTGCAAACTCAAATTCGGCCTGGGTGAGATTGCCAGGCGGCGGCGTACCACCGGGAGCGGCGGCGATGGGCGACATAATGCTGTGATCGGGGAGTGTTGAGGTAGCGGTGGTGGTGATGGGCGAGCCGAGGAACGACGGCGAGGCTGGGTGAGCGTGATGGTGGTGGTTGGACGGCGTCGAGGTAGCGGTGGTGGTGATGGGCGAGCCGAGGAACGACGGCGAGACTGGGTGGGCGTGATGGTGGTGGTTGGACGGCGTCGAGGTAGCGGTGGTGGTGATGGGCGAGCCGAGGAACGACGGCGAGGCTGGGTGGGCGTGATGGTGGTGGTTGGACGGCGTCGAGGTAGCGGTGGTGGTGATGGGCGAGCCGAGGAACGACGGCACCGAGCGAACTGGCGAAAGCCCGGCAAGTGACAGATGGTCAGTAGGCTCCGACGGTGCCAAGTGAGCATCATGAACGGGTGAGAGTCGCGGCAGGAGGATGCCTGAGCCGGAGAGAGCGATCGATGACGCGGAAATGTTCGAGGCGAGCGAAAGGTGGGCGAATGGCGAGACCTGTAAAGCTTGCCGCGAACTCGAGCGACTAGATGCCGCAGTGTATGGTGAGAGTCGAGCCATTGGCGACCGGTGGGCGACTGCGGCGAGGTCGGCAGGGAACGGATACATCGGCGAGTGGACAGAGCGGATAGACCGGACAGAGCATGCCGAGCTGAGCGACCGGTACGAGCTGGCTGGCGACGGCGAGGCATACGAGGCATGCACAAGGCCTCGTGCCATGAGGGCCATTGGCGAAAGCGAGTAGTCGGCGGTGGTCGAGTGATCCGTGCCAAAGACCGAGCGGTCGCGGATGGTCGGCTCGCCACGGTCGAGCTCGCCGTTCTCCTGCATGCGGATGACCCGTTCCGGGGTGCGGGTCATTGCCGAAGAGGCAAAGAACTTATCGCAGCGGGCCGCGTCATCTGCCAGAAACTGTGCCCACTGCGACTTGCGCAGAGCAAGCGAGGCCTCGTCGAGGGCAACGGTGATGCTCGACGGCAGGGCCTCGGGTGTGCCAAGCTCATCCGACTCGCTATCCGAGTCGGGAGCGATGTCGACCGGGTACAGGCTGGCGAGGGCATCGATGGACCAGTCCATAACTCGCGCCGGTGACGGGGATGCCAGGTACGGGCGACCGGGCGAGGCCGAAGCCAGCGGCGACCATCCAGGTGAAGCAAAACGAGCCAGCGGACGGCCATGGGCTGGCGTTGACGTTGCCGGAGCCGGACCGCGATACTGTCTCGCAGGCGATCCGCCATCATGTCCAGCCGGTGAGCTAGAGTGACCGATATCCAAATCCTGCATAGGCGGCAGATGCAGAACGAGCCCATCTCTATCCACTCCCTCGGCATCAGCTGTCCTGTCGTCACTCTGACCATCGTCGCCGTCGTCTTCCGAGTCAAAGGGCGGGAGAGCGGGAAAGTGGTCCTTGTCCTCGCCCAGGAACGGGTTGCGCAGGTACTCTGCGAAGGACGTTGTCATACCTGCCACCACACGTAGAGAAGGTGGTGGGTGAGGTGGTGCGGTGGAATGAGTTGCGGGAGGGCTAGTGGGCAGAGTGACGGGGCAGGCCAAGCCGAGCGCGGCGCCTGGCCGAATTGGCGCGCAAGGCGAGGCACGGCTGACATGGCGAGGGAGAGCAAAGGTGATGAGGGGGGGGGGGGGGGGGGATACTTATGCGATGGGACAGGAAATGGGATGAGATGAAAGAGAAAGGAGTGCATGAACAAGGTCGATGAGGTATCGTGGCGTGGTGTACAACAGGCTGGCGGTGATGAGCGTGGGAAGGGGGGGTGAGGGAGGGGAGGGTGCCATCAGCCTGGTTGGCTTTGGTACGTTGGCATAGACATGAGTCAGTGGGGGCTCACCATCGCCATAGTAACGAGATGTACCATTTTGAATGTGTATTGTGATGATGCTGGTGTTCATCGGTATTGTTTGTCATCCAATCCACTGCACACGGTTGATGCTACCGGCATGGATGACAAGGCACGTGCGGTGCAGTCAGTGCCTGGCAGATGGACGGGAGCAGCAACAGGAGCAGCGAGCCGCAGCAGTCACAGAGAGACAAGAGAGAGAGAGACAGACAGACAGACAGACGGACAGACAGACAGACAGACAGACAGACAGACAGACAGAAAGACAGACAGACAGAAAGACAGACAGACTCGTCTTTGGCGACTTTGGCGTAGCAGTACCCCTCTCCCTCTCTCTCTCGAGACTTCAACTTGTCCGGCATGAAGGTGGAAGGCAGTGTGTTTGTGGTGACTGGTGGTGCGTCGGGTTTGGGCCAGGCGGTTGTCCGCCGAGCGGTGGAACTGGGTGCTGCTGGTGTGGGCATCTTTGATCTGAACGATGACGATGGAGAGGGTACGGGATCGGGAGGGTGGGGAGGAGGGAGGAAGGGGGGGGGGGGGGGGGGGGCGTGGTTGCAATCGGAGTGGGTGACTAACATAGGGTGATAGAGATGGTGGTGGAGCTGGGCGAGGACAAGGCGCTGTTTGCCGAGGTCAACGTGACGGATGCCGATAGTGTGCAGGAGGGCCTGGCTGCAGTGGTGGAGAAGTTCGGTCGGGTGGACGTGGTGGTCAACTGTGCTGGTATCGGATCTGGGACCAAGACGTACTCTAGGAAGGGTGGAGCGCACAAGCTCGACTACTTCAAAAAGGTTGTCGAGGTTAACCTGGTGGGCACGTTCAACACGCTCCGGCTGGCGGCCGCAATCATGGCGGAGCAGGAGCCGAACGCGGATGGCGAGCGCGGAGTCATTGTCAACACGGCAAGCGTCGCAGCGTTTGACGGACAGCAGGGCCAGGCATCGTACTCGGCGTCCAAGGCCGGGGTTGTGGGCATGACGCTCCCGATTGCTCGTGACCTTGGCCCATACGGCATTCGCATCTGCACCATCTGCCCAGGCGTCTTCCTCACCCCGATGATGCGGATGCTCAAGGCCGAGGTGCGGGCGTCACTGGAGAAGGACGTCCCATTCCCGTCGCGGCTGGGCCGGCCGGAGGAATTTGCGCTGATGGCGACGTCGATTGTGGAGAACCCGTACCTTAACGGGGAGACGATCCGGCTCGACGGGGCGCTGCGGATGAACAAGCTCTAGAGGGGAAGAGGCTCTGGAGGGAGAGGGTGAGCAATGACGAGTGCATGTTTACTCCTTCTTGGGCTTCTTGGCGAGGTAGTTCTTCTTGAAAAAGTCGGCAAAGAGGAAGACCAGGATGGTGACGTAGGTGTTGTTGCACGCGAGGGCCCAGAACGCCGGGCCAGTGAGGCACTCGATGAAGAAATACGGGGCGGAAAGGCCCATGCCGACCACAAACTGGACAAGCTGCATGGTGGTGAGGAGCGACTTGAATGGCGGGTGGATACCGACGACGGTGAGCGCGTAGCGAGCGTACATCAGAGTGTGGATGAACGAGTTAAGGGAGAGGAAGAGCCAGGTGGCCTCGGTCCGGAACTGGGTCAGGGCCCACATGATGAGGACAGCGCCGATGTGGTGGAAGACCTGGAGGAAGATGGGCTTGCGGCCCTTGAGGAGGACGATCCAGGTGTCGAGGAACTCGTAGATCTTGGAGAGGTAGAAGAAGTACGAGAGAGCAGGCAGCGGCGAGGAGCCGTCATCCACCATGAGAGTGTTGCAAGTCGGCGAGTAAATGAAGTCCCATTCCCAGGCCCGCGGGAGAACGAAGGCAAAAGTCTCGTAGCAGACCCAAGCCGAGAAGACCGTCATGATCGCGTTGTGCGAGAGAGCCATGCCCTTGATCCACGACGGAGTCTGCTCACGCGTCCGTCCAGAGAGCAGATAGTTGACAGTGACATACACCACACACGCCGCAATGGGCTGCCACATGGGCATGTCAGGCACCTCAAAGGCCTTGAGCCAAGCCGTCGACATGATTGATGATGGGATGGACAGGAGTTGGGGGGGGAGGGAGGGTACGGGTGTTGGCCTCTGGGGAGGGAGGCGGGAGAGAGGGGGGGGGGGAGGAAGTCGGTACGGGCGAGGGGGGAGGTGCTCGTAGTGTTGGAGAGAGGAGTGTGAAGCAGTTGCAGTGGATGAGGGTTGTGGGAGTGGGGAGGGGGGGGGGGGGAGGGGAGGGAGGAGGTCATGCGATTGACCGTTGCCGGCCACGTGGCACGTGGCCGGTGTGATTGGGGAGGTGGGGGGAGGGGGGGGGAGGGGGGGGGCAAAAAAAATGATGGTTTCGAGTCAATGGGTATCGATGTCGATGGCAGGTGGGGGGGGCAACAGGGCAATCAAGACGGATTGTGGATGTGATTGGGTAGCAGCGGGGGATGGAGGAAAGATATTGGTGTCATGTGTCCCTTGTATACTGCCTGGTCTGCTAAGCTGTGGTAGGTTCAATGATGCAGTTGGAGCAAACCGTGACTCTGGAAATGCAGGTTCTCGGTCCAACAGGGAAGGGGCCATCCGCAGAGTGAACGAAAAGGGGAAGGAGAAAAGAGATAGTATTGAGGGGGGTGATGCATAGTTGAGAATGTGTAACAACAGGTTGCGATCCAGGCCTGTATGCTCGGATGGTGTACGAGTGCAGATGGGAGGATCAGAAGTATGACTGCGAAAAAAGATCGCCGACGATGATCAAGGAAATTCAAGCAGACTACGCAGCGTTGTGGTTTGTGTTGTCTATTCCGAGCCGATGTTTATTGTTGCAGTCGGAGGTCACTATTGCTTGGTAAGATGGTAACGTCTTTCATCCATATGGATAATCATGGTCACGATGGTAGCGTTGTCCTGACAGCACCCTGTTGGTCATCAGTTGACGCTATCCGCTCTCACACCGCTATCGGCCACAGCCAACTCAGACAACGGCCAGGCTCAGACAGCTGGACTGCAGCCGCTTCCTCCCCTCTACCACCTCTCTCTCCACACACACCATTCGACAATGCCCCGGGACAAGGACCGTCGAGGCAGGAGATGGAGCCGAAAGCAAGGGCCGCCAACAACGCCGGCCATGGTGGTCTCTGTCCCGTCGCGAACCGCCGAGCCGCTCGCCCGGCGCGAGTACGTCCGCCGCAAGGTCCGCCTATCGGCACCCAAGCCGCTGCCTATCATCTCTGTCGACGTCTCGCACCAAGTCGGAGGAGGGGCCAGTGGCGGCGGCGGAAGAAGTCCGGCGCGTGCTCCGTTGACGGCGCTGCTCCGCTCTCAGGAGGCGCAGGCCGAGCTGGACGCCCTCAACGAGGATGCGCTATGGAAGCACCACTTTCGCGCAGATCGATACGTGGCTCCGCAGCTCTCGCCAGAGGCCCGGGCACGGCTTGAGTCGCGTTCGCGCGTCCGCACTTCAGGCGCTGCGTTGCGAGAGACCCACGAGCGCCATCATCGGTCGCATCGCGCAAGGACAGAGGAGCAGCGCCTGGCGGTCATCGGCGCGAGCTCGGCGTCACTGACCCGCGGGTTGGCGGCAGCCCAGAGCTCGACGGCGTTTGCTCTGCCGCCGACGCCGGCTTCAGACCGACAAAACTCGATCTACTCACCGCTGACATCGGACGAGGGCCTGGCGCCGCCGAGCTCGTATGCTCACGCCATGCCGAGCGAGGTGCCAGCCCACGCGGCCGACAAGCGCACCCGCCATGGGGCGGGCAAGGCCTCCCGGGCCGCCAAGTTTGCGGCGCCTCTTCATGCCGATGAGGTATACTATCCGTCTTACTCGTACTACGTATACTCGATGTCTGGCTCGGACGATGGGCTACGCGGGTAGGACCGCTTCCGAGAGACCAGCGGCGGCGATGGCGTTGGTGACGGCGGCTAGCGACGGAGCGGGCCGAGTCAGTTGGACGACGGCAACAGCGACGCCAGCGTCGACGCTGGCTGAGAAGGTGACCTCGGCGACCGGGTGGACGGCGGCGTGCAGCGCGGCGACAGTGGCGGGCGGGTCTGTTGCGGTAATGACGAACACAAGCTCGTTGCGGGAGGGATGGTCGGCGCAGGCCTTGAGGAGCCGGAGCGCGGCCTCAATCGAGTCGTAGGCATACTTGGAGAGAACGATGGACATGGCCTCCTCGAGGACAAGGGCCTTGTCGTGGTTGGGCAGGTCACAGAACGAGGTGGCGTTGACCGGATCAACGTAGCACCCAATGTGGTCGTTGAAGAAGGCATCGATGGTCGTGTCGCACGGAACGAGGCTCCCGTTGGCCGGGATGAGCACCTTTTTAGCAAGAGTGACTTCCAGACATGGGCGGACTGTGCGCGACCAGGCCTGGCCGACAGGCGTCAGCTTGGGCTCGAGGTGGAGATAGGCCAAGCACTTGCCGTACATGACCTTTTCGATAAACACGCACGGCTGGGTCGTCCCGTTGCCCAAGCACTCGATGTACCATCCGCACGGCGTTCCTCCAGGCCCCGGCGGAACCGGGCACGCTGTCGGACTCGGAGTGACTTGCGCCTGACCTGATCTGCCAAGCTCTGCCATGTGACCAGCAACATCGACTGTGCCTCGTCCGCCACCGGCTGCGCCCGTCGCCGTCACCATACCCACAGCCAGGACCAGAACCAGGGCCAGGGCCGGGAACGTCTTAACGTTCATGGTAAGCATGCGGGTGTGAGAGAGGTGGTGACGAGAGCCATGGGGGGGGGAGGGGGGGCGTGCGTGTGTGTGTGTGTGTGTCTCGTCAACTGTGCTGAACTCCGCTCTTCTACTGCTCATCGCGAACGTGCATGTTGCTGTTGATCTCGCCGCACAAACTGACGGCTTATGGTGCTTTAAGTGAGGACGCTCGGTGGGGGTGGTGGCGGCGGAACGAGCGACGGAGTCCACGGTTCGGAGAGCTTCCAGTCAGCGTCCATGACCGAGGCGTACCAGGCGACAAGGCCCGGATGGGTGAAGCGGAGGGTGAGGCCGCGATCAGCACCATGGACGCCCGGTGGAAAGACGGTAAAGGTAGGGTACTCGGACTCGGCCCAGTTGTTGGTCGAGACCGAGACCGACGACCCGTCGACGATCCAGTACTTTTGGTGGTGGATGCCGAGGCAGTCGTGGGTGACGTGGACCTCGATGCCAGCGGACGTGAGATTGCGATACGCGGCCGGATAGCTGGCGAACGGACCCGGGACGACGTAGCCAGAGACGAGGGCGCGAATGCGGAGCTTCGGCCGCGACTGCTTGAGGGCGATGAGCTCGGTGACAATCGCACGCGAGGCGATGACGTAGATGTAGACGTCGATCGATGTGGTTGCCGTCTGCAAGTGTGGAATGAGCGAGAGCTCCACGCCGTCGTCGGGCATGGTGTACACAGTGACGTCCATCTCGGCCGAGAAGGTTGGCGGCGGGTCCGGCACGTTGTACGAGCACGTCGAGTTGGTAAACGTGACTGGCGGCATCGGGATGGGGCTCTTGTCCTTCATCAGCTTGAGAACACTCGCCGGCCACGTGGCATCGACCGGGTACGCAATGGCGAGCTCCCAGTCGCCATCAAAGACTGCCGTGGTGAAGTCGGCCACAGGCGAGCCCGGGTCGAGGCCGTCGTAGACCACACCAGCCTCGCGGTTGTAGAGAAATCCCTCCAGATCAAAGTTGGCCGACATGATGGCTACTTTGCGGTTGTCGACGTTGACATACTTGGAGTGGATAAAGTCGGTGGTAGCGTACGCTCTGACCGAGGCACCGGCAAGGGCAAGGTAGGAGAAGACGTCGATGGCGCCGGGCGGATTGACATTCGTCGAGCAGTAGCCAACCAAGAGTCGAACGCGGACACCCGAGTGGATGGCGTTGACAAGAGCCACAAAGAGCGGCGACGACGCGTTGTAACGGAGCTGCGCCGGACTGCATCCTCCGCCGCCACGGACACCGCAAGCCTGAAACGGAGCCCAGGATGCGACAGCGATGTCGATCGATGACTCGGCCGAGAGCACAAGCTCAGTAACCTCCCGCTCGAGCTGACCAGGCGAGAAAAAGGGAGTGACTCGCGCGTCATGGCCAGTCACTGTCTCCATCTTAAAGTGCGAGGTGTACGTCTCCGTCTGGTGGTTGAAGCACGAAGGGCCGCCAGCTGCAAGTGCCACACATGCTGCCACCACCACGGCCGCCACTAGAGCAACAACAGAGCGAACAGTAGCCATGTTGAGGGGAAGTTGGGGTGAAGGAGGGGAGCGGGGCGGGGGAGATTGGTATATGTGTGTGTGTGTGGGGTGAGTCAAGCGTATGCGTACTTACTTGTTCTTGGCGAGTGCGGTCAGTTGGCTGGTGAGCCCATGGTGTGGCTGGCTGGACAGCTGGCTGTGATCAATTGAAAATGGTGTGTTGTTGGGGAGAAAATACGGTTGTTGTGTGGTCCTCCGCATCATCGCACGCAATGCGCAACCGGCAATACCGAGGCTCTTGATGCGCTAATGTGTGCCAGGCAGATTAGTGCCCAACACTCATGCCCAACACCCGGCTCACTCAGCCTTCCACTTTCCCCACATTCACCCCAAGTGATGTCCGTTGCTGCAGTGATCGCTCCACTGCCCCGTCTTGGCAAGCCAGGACAATGCCGTAAGTTGGTGAGTCCCACTCATACCGCGCCTTTTGTCGCACACTTGACCACAAAGACAGTAGGTATGGGACCTTGATCTGTTCTCCCCATCTGTTCCCTCCCCCGTCCCCCCCGCCCCCCCCCCCCCCCCCACCATGTATCCCCCCTCCCTCCTTCCTCCAGTTGCCTCTTTTGCCTTTCTGAGCTACTGCACTGTTCCCCCCTCCCCCTCCCCCTCCCCCTTCCCCCTCCCCCACCAACCCACGCGCCTTTTGCTTCTGCCGCTTTTTCGACTCCACAGCCGCTTTTTTTGGCAACGGGACACCTTCCAAATACTTCCGCTCTTATCTATCTCACCTCTTTCCTCCACCACCATAGAAGCGTGGGAACACCATGTTTCAATCGTCTTCAGGGACGAGCTCTGGCTCGTCGAGCTACATGAGTCAGTCGTACACTGAGCCCGAGGCCGCTTTGGCCAACAACCCCCAGCCGGACGGTCTTGTTATCGACCGCAAGACGCTTACCCCCGAGTTGCGTGAGATCCTCGACCAGGTCGATCGCGATGGTGACGGTGACGTTGACGTGAACGAGCTGCTCATGGCCTTTCAGGAGCTGCACCACACCAAGAAGTCGAACAAGCGGCTTGTGAAGATCCTCATTGTCGGCGCTGTGCTGTTCACCCTCACGCTCGGCGTCATTTTTGCGCTCTCGGTGGCTGCCGCCGAGCTGGCCAAGGACACCAACATCCAGTCGACGTCGAACTCGCCGGCGGTGATGCGGACCAAGTCTGGCGGTGACGAGTACTCGTCGACGGTGCGGACGGCGACGGTGACGCCTGGCGTCAGCGTGGGTGCGACCTCGACTCCGGACTCCTCGGCTTCCGCCCGTGCGATGCGCGCACGGATGCGGGCTGCCCAGGGCCGTGCCAACGAGGTCGACCCGACCAACCTCAACGACATTTGCGTTGCTTACGAGTCGAGCACTTCCGACTCGATCAACTTTGATGACGGCGTGGTCTTCAAGCACTCTGCTGCCATCGATGCCATTCAGGCCAACCCGACGTCGTCGTTCGCGCTCTCGCTGCCTGTCGGCAAGGAGACAGTCGTCATGCGGTTCAACCCCATTGGGATCAAGAAGCTCACCACCGACGAGGTTGAGGAGATCCCAGACGGCACTGTCATCTCGGCCATCGAGATGAGCCTGGTGGCGGACAAGGATGCTGTTGCTCGCGTCTGCTGTGACCACGCCAACTGCGCCTACGTTGTCGGCCAGCCCAAGACTCCACTTGTTGTCGAGCCTGAGGCTGTCAACGGGACCGAGCTGGACGCGCCGAGCGACGAGGACCTCGAGGAGACCGCCGCGCGCGGCTGGGTGTCGGAGCGTGGCATTTACCACTTCCACGACACGCAGATCCACGAGGAATCCGGTCTTGCCACCGACGCTGACTATCAGACCCGCGCCACTGTGTCGAGCCGCGTGCGTACGCTCATGCAGCGCTACCGCTGTGGCCGCTACCCGTGCTTCACGCGCGACCTCATGATCGAGAACCGTGTTGTCAACAGTATCTCTAGGACCAGGCGGCGTGATTGGGGCCGTGCCTTTGTCGGCAACTACCGCCATCCGTCGCACCACTGGGACCGTTTCAACGTTATTTGCCCTTACCAGGGGGCGACCGACATCTTTGGCCGCTCTGTCGGCAAGGTCAACGAAGGTCTGCACGACGTCATCGTCAACCGGATTGTGGCTGTTCGCATTGCTCCCCTTGTGCGCCGGTATGGTGCGAGCAACTCCCGGACCATCCGGTATCGCTCTTACCTTGTCCGTTACTTCTCGCGTCTGCGCTCGCTCATCCAGCGTGCCCTGAGCCGTCCGACCACCACCTGCTACCGCCGCGGCTTCAAGCCGGTTCCCGCCTTCTCCGTCACTACCATGCCGCTCGCTTTCTATCCGGGTAGCAGCAACCGCCGCTGGGTGGCTTACAACCCAGTCATCTACAATGATGACACGCTCGTCACCATGTGCCGCTGCCAGTTCATCCGTCCGGCCCCGCCTCCGCCGCCACCGCCGCCGTCGCCGATCTCACCGCCGCCGCCGTCGCCGATCTCGCCGCCGCCGCCGCCGCCGCCGACTACTCCCCCGCCGCCGCCGGTTGCCCAGGCCGCAAAGGACAAGCTCATTCCCACGTCGAAGGATAAGGCCAAGGCGAACGAGAAGAAGATCCGCGATAGCGATTGCTGCTGCAACAAGAATGAGGACTAGCGAGCGCACGCTGATTACCTACTGTACATAGATAGACACTTCCACATCAAACGCCTTTCATTTTCCCAACCCCTCCCTCTTCCCCCTGCGTCCCGGCCCCCCCCCCCTCCACAGCCACACACGCCACGCCCGCCACGGCTCCCTCTCCTCCCTTCTACCCATTCTGATATGACCCTCCTGTCCAAAGTGTGGACAAACTGCACTTTCTGCAACATTATGCGTCTCTCCCTTCTGCCCTTTGTCGGCTACGCCGGATACACCTTTGTCTCGGGCTACTCAGCCCAGACCGCCAGCCCCACACCACCAGGACAGGCATCGCCCGCCGAGTCCTCGCCCTCGCCCTCTGGGGCATTGTACAAAGACATTTCACCTGCAGGAGGCTCTGCCTCGTCCCATTCGCCGTCGTCGATGGCTACATCCACAGACTGATGTGGCTGCTACCGTCTGCCGCGTCATCGTGTCGGCCTCGGCGCGGGAGACGATCGGCTGCACACGCTTGCGCGAGCTCGCGTCTCTCCCTCAATCGCACTTGCTACCACGCAGTAGCCTGGCCTGACTCGTTTACTCACCACTTGGAGCTCCGGTCTCCAGCACAGACTGGCGGCACTTGGGACAGGCGGAATTGACGTGGAGCCACTTTTGGAGGCATCCGCTGTGGAAGACGTGCCCGCATCGGGTGATCTTGGCGCTGCCCGGCTCCATGTCGTCCCAGCAGAAAGCGCACACGTCGTCGTAGGCTTCGATCTGGGCCGGGGTGGCGTCGGCGACCTGGGCGTCAAACTGGAGCACAGCCTCACGCCGCCGCTTGTACGCTTCCCAGTTGGCGAGGGTAAATTTGTAGGCATCATACGCGTACATGGCAATGAAGATCTTGTCTGCCGACACCTCGCGGCCCGACTGTCGGATGTTGCCGAGCAAGACGAGCGCCTTGATGCCAATCTCCATGCAATTGGCCGAGAGCTCGGTGTAGAAGACATACGCCTCGATCCGCGCTGCAGACGCGAGGTGGTGGATAACGTACAGCATAAACGACTTCAGCAGCCGAATTAGCCCGCGCACCACCATGTTGAGCAGGTACAGCGCAAGGTACGTCATGGTATCGCCCGACATGGTCGCGTACAGTCGTGCAAAGGCGACCACAAGCCAGACCTCCAGCACCACAACACATCCAAACAGCGCTAGCACACGCACGTGCTGCCCCCGCGTCTCCCCCGACGACGCCATCACCATAAGGCTCGCCGATGACACCTCGGCCACCATGCACACCATGTGCAATCCGTACACAAACAGCAGGATCGGCACGTGGCTCAGTGCACTCAAAAGTGGCAGCCCGTACGGCTTGAGCATCACAACCGTCCAGCATAGCGCATTTCCAATGTACCCGGCTCGGTGTCGCGGGTTGAGGAACGGAAACTCGACGCCTTCGGACGCCACAGCCCGCACTGTGCTCGGCACAAACATGACCTCCACCACCCGGATGGCCAGCCCGCCCCACACAGCAAGTGCACATAGCAACGCATGGTACCGCAGGCCGGTCGAGAGGCCCGCTACATGCAGCGTGTCCAGCACCATGTCTATCACACTCCCATCCGTGTTGCGCGCACGATGCAACGCGTCGCTGGCCATCACCGCCGTCGAGTACAGAAACCCAATGTCGCGGACATGGAACGTTGCCAGCAGCCGCCGTACAGTATGGCCCACCACGGCAAACAACGCTCCTACAATATGCATCACATGCCCACCTCTCGCTTCCACCTGAGCATACACGCCAAAAACAAAGTCCAGAACCCGCAGCCGCCAGAAGATCCATCCCCACAACAGGCAGCCGCCGAGCCCGAGCGGAAACGCAGCCTCGGGCATGGTACCCATCACCACAAGCACACCCGCTTTGATCAGCATCAGCAGCGCAGTGAGCTTGATCGATGCCAACCCATCATTCGGCCTCGGAGCTAGCCACGCCGTCGCGTATGCCAGCAGTAGTGTAACCCGGAGCGCGAGCCATGGCATCGCCACATGCGGGCTCGACTCGAGCGCCTGCATCGCCACCGGAGTCTTGAGCATGAGCCAAACGGAAGCAGCGCCCACACCACTCCTGTCGAGGCCATCACCGCCAGATGATTATCCGGCGCGTTTGCTGGAGGCAGCAGTGATGCCGAGAACGTCTCCCTCGCCAGAGCCGAGACCTTGAGCAAGAGGGCAAAGCTCATCGCTAGCACCATACTCAGCCCTGCATACACCTTCATCCCCTGCCCAGTCACCACATCATCTTTGATCATAGTCCTTGTCACACTTGGTCCGTCTATCTCCGCACACCATCACATACATCATCAGCACCGGCGTGAGTCGGCCTGCCGGCCCCGGCCAGCCTCCCCACCCTCCTTCCCCTCCCCCCCCCTGCCTCCCCGGCAAACGTACCAATGGTAGCGAGGACGCCCAGAGTGCCGAGAGCAAACCCAAAAGGACGGACCCATCGCATCTGTCTCTCAACCTTTGCTCTCACAAGACGAGTTGTGTTCAACTTGGTGAGGTGTGTGAGGTGTCGGTGTCGGCTGGTGACGACTGGTGACGGCTGCGTGTGTGTGTTTGGGGGGGGAGTTCGGCTTGGTTGTGACAATTTGGGGAGAGATCGCTTCGGTGTGGTGATGTGATGCAAGTTGTGTTCAAATCTGTGAAGAGGGTTGGAGGGCTGGTGGGGAGTGCGATAGAGGATACACGTTGTGTTTGATGAGAAGACAAAGAGAGTTAAACGTTGACGGCCGGAAGCAGAGCGACGGAAAGGAACTTCTTCCGCGAGTACTTCTTGGCGACGGCCTTGAGCGACGAGGTCGACGAGTTGGCATGGAGCGAGTTGAGGTGACGGATGATCGGGAGAAGATCGGTCTCGGTGTAGCGGGTGTAGTGCTCCATGGTTGCGTCCCACTCGCCGGAGCGGTTCATCTTGAGGGCAAGGCACATGGCGGCGGCGGCGATCGACGACGGAAGGAACTCGACAGCCTGGTAGTCGGGGATGGTGAGCTCCATGAGGTACTTTGCCGTGGTGTGGGTGGTGAGATCCGAGTTGGCGGCCTTGGAGAACCGGCGGAGGAAGTGGAGCGGGTACGGCGGCTGGAGGGTAAAGTTGAGCGTCGCCAGGATTGTCTGCTCCATGTCAAGGATCTCGCGCCGGGTGTACGCGTTGTCGCACATGTACATAAAGTCACGGATAGGCGGCGGATAGATCTCCTCGTACTTGGAGGCGATGAGCATCGAGGTGATGCCCACCAGCTGGAGCCGCGACCGCTTGACCTGCACCTTGTTGAGGAACCGATCCATGACGTTGACCGTAAGGTACATCGTCTCCTGCAGCGCCTTAAACTTGAGGTGCACCTCCACGAGCCAGTCGAGGAGGATCGACCGCATCTTGGGCGTCACGTCCGACTGCACAGACATAAAGTTCGCAGGCACCATGTACTTGAGCTCCTTGGAGTAGAAGTGGTCCATAATGTCCTCTGCGTACTCGGTGCACGCCTGAGGGTCGTCAAAGTCGACGTCGATGTTCTCCAGCGGCGCCGGCACGGCGTGCTTGGACATGGGCACAACCGGCGGCTCGATGGCCGGCGCCTCGGCCATCGGCGCGGGCTTCGACCGCGACACCTGCATCGGCGCGGGCTTGGCCGCCGCCGACCCAGAGCGCGTCGACCGCGACGTGTACTACTCGGTTGTCCCCATGTCTTTCTTAGTAAGTATTCTGCTCACCCTCGGCACTCTCCCGCTTGCCCCTGCCTTTGCACTGGCCGCAGCCGCGCGTCATAGAAATTTCAAATTTGCAACAAATTTGCCATTCGCGCGCGCCGGCCGCACTGCCTTGTCAACCACTGCCAGTCATGGCCACTGCCACAGCAGGGAATGGGGGGGGGGGGGGAGCAGAGGAAGAGGGACTACCTGCACAAGCATTGAGCATATGAGGGGGGAGGGGGGATGATGTTGCTTACCTTGGAGTAGCGGTTCACGCCGCCGGCGCGGGTGCCGTTGACGTTGGTCCGATCGCCGAGGGCAGCGCGGCCGTAGCGGGTCTTGGACGCTGCGGCGGCGGTGGCGTTGGAGGTGCCATGGGCGCGGGAGGAAGCCGTGCGGCTGCCGGAAACAAGCTGTGGCAGAAGAAGACAAAGGTAGGGCGTGAGTTTGTGCGTGTGGGGGAGGTTTTCGAGGTGGCATGCTGTTCCGCGTCCCTATCTGCTGTTGCAGATCGAGGGAGTCGCAAGAAAAGGAGCAAAAATTCAAAATTTGAAACAGGCGCGCTCGCTCTGGGCCACCACTAGGACGGGGGTATAGAGCGCATGGGTGGAGATTGAAGTCATAAGGGCAACGATATGTAGTCGCAAGCATGCGGGGCATGCTGAGGTGCTGTGCTTACCGAGCGGAACCCAATGGCCATGATGTCTGTCTGGTGGGTCAGAGTCGAGAGTTGCCGGTCCAAGTCGGCTCGAGTACACGCCGCCTGCCGGTCTCCCCGTCTGCCACCATCGGCCGAGTCAACCGAACGACTCTTTTGCCGAGTTGTTAGGCCGAGACCGGTCGATTGGAATGACTCGGCACAGCGGTGCGGCGAGAGGGAGGAGCGGAGGAGTGGAGGAGTGGAGGAGGGGCATTGATCATATTTACTCTCTTGGTGGCTCGGTTGACTGGCGAAGGATACGGGAGCGCGAACGTGAGCGTGAGCGGGATCGCGAGCGGGAGATAGAGTTGGCGATGTAGGCTGAGGAAGAGGCAGAGTGGCGGCTCCGGCGGGTGCGTCCGATCTTCTCGGCTGTTGTTGACCGCGAGCGTCGATCGAGCCGGGCATGAGAGGGCGAGCGAGACGGGCTTGGCGAGTCGCGCTTGTTGCGGCCGGGCGAGCGGGTGGGCGAGCGTGATGCCGACGCCAGCGCCTGCGAGCGACGCCAGCGCATTGTCAGAGTCCGACTTGCCGCCCGCTGCGCCACCAGCAGTGTCTGGCAGAGCGCACGCCGCGCGTGGGCCACGATGTGATGGGTGCCGGGCGGCGCGTTGCGTGGAACCACGTCAGCTCCGAGTGCCTCCAGCGGGTCCCACTCGAGATGGACCACGCCCGGTTCGACCGGCGCCAGCGCGCCAGACATCATGGCTGCGCTCATCTTGGGCGCAGCAAGTAGATTGCGGCGGAGGACAACCGGAACCGGCTGACTCCGCGGCCGCACATTGCGCTTGTCCAGTCGCCGCCAGCTGTCTGCCAGCCCGTCTAGCCGTTCCTGCGCTGCCGACAACGCCCTCTCAGTGAGGGTCGGATGCGATCGCGCGCTTTGCCGGTTTCGAAGCCGTCGGGAGTCAACCAGAACATGGGTTGGCAGCGCAACTTCGCGATAAGCGACCTCGGGCGTGCTGTAGAACCACTGCGCAAGCGTGGTGAGGATGGCCTTGGGCCCATCGGTCCCACGGAGCCGCGACACTGGGCACCGCATCGGCTTGAGGCCAGTCCGACTCGCTTGCACCGCATCGTCGTCGTGAACGGCTGCGTAGTAGTCCGGCATCGACTCCGAGTCTGAGCTCGAGGCATCAGACTCGGACTCGGAATCGAACTCCTCCATCATCGTTGCTTCGACAACCTCCCCTGACCCACCGACCAGCGCCGTCACTCCCAGCTTCGACTGTGCTCCAACTGGCCGTGCCAGATGATGGACGTACTCCAGCTCAACAAATGGATACCGCCATGGGCGGGTCCGTCGTGAGACGGGGCCTTCGTCGTCGCCCCACACCAGCTCATCCGAGTCGGCTGGCATCTTGCTGGAGCTTCCATCGTCGTCATCATCGCTCTCGGACCACGTCTCGCACTGGATCCATCCGTGGGCAACACACGCAGAGCGGCATGCGGAACCTCGGGCAGGACCGGACCTGACAGTTCGTCATCAGACAGTTCATCGTAGCAGTACCACGACAGCGACTGTGCAGTCAGTCGGCCGTCTCCAGGCACATCGGGTCGCCGTGATCGTCTCCGGACCGAGCCAGCCACAGACCTTCCCTCCCCGCTGGAGCCACCATGACCAGTCGACCTCAAGCCAGACCTTGCTCTTTCAGCCATGAGCTGCCTTCTTGAGTGACAAAGTAGCGAGAGTGTATGTGCGCGTGTGTGTATGTATGTGTATGTATATGTGGCTAAGAGGGGGGGAAGGAGAGAGAGAGAGAGAGAAAGAGAGAGAGAAAGAGAGGTGCCGGTGCCAGTAGTACGGTGTCGCCCGTCACCCGTCACCCGTCGCCCGTCACCCGTCACCCGTCGCCCGTCGCCCGTCGCCCGTCGCTCGTCGCCCGTCGCCCGTCGCCCGTCGCCCGTCGGCTGTCCCAAGCCACCTGTGCCCTCCCTGTCGTCGATCGAGCACCCTTACTCTCCAGCCCCCCCCCTCCCCCCCCCCCGTCACCCCCCCTCCTCCTCCCCCCCCGTCACCCCCCCCGCCCTCCTCACCCCCCCCGCCCTCCTCTCCATCTCTGCTCTCCTTCCCCCCTCGTCCCTCTCCTCCCCCTCGTCCCTTCCCCTCATTCGCCATGGCAGACCTGGCTGCCACAAGCGGGTTCCTCCCACCAGCACGCACCTTGTCACCACCACCAACATCATCACCACAACAAGAACCATCACCATCATGGGCTGCTGATGCTGCTGATGCTACTGATGCTGCTGATGCTGCTACCGATGATGATCATGTGCCCGGTCAGGTACTTGCGGACGAAAGCTCGGACTCGGAGTCAGACATGCTGTCATCATTGTCGTCCTCGTCGTCCTCATCGTCCTCGCCGTCATCGTCGTCATCGTCGTCATCATCGTCGCCGTTCTCGGCATCGTCAAGCTCGTACTCGGCAGGCCCAGCACCGGCGTATGATGCTGGTGTGGGATCGTCTATTGATTGGACCGCCACACCCATTGCGGCGGTGCCCCGGCTGCCGGGTGCGGAGCACATTGAAGCCCGCGATCCTCCGCTGCATCTCGCTGACTCGACGCCTTGGGCCCACGAGGCTGAGGCCACACTGATGGTACAGTACTCCAAGCTTCCCTGCTCAGTGCTGCCGTATGCGCACGCACTGGGCGAGGACTCGCCTTCCACTGTCTCCAAGGCGTTCAAGAAGCGGCTGCGAGCAGGGCTGCCGCTCTGGATCCGCGGCCATGTGTGGGCCTGCATCACCGGCGGCGTCGACTTGCTCCGCCGCGCGCCGACGCTGTATGCGGCGGCGGCAGTGCGTGCGTTTGGCAGCGGCGGCGCCGGCGACGACGACCTGCTCAACATTCCGTCGTTCTCGGCCGTGGACCTCTCGACGGACGCTTGCCTCGGCTCCGGCTACCGCGCCGACGCGGCGCCCGAGGCGCTTATCGGTGCTGACGCCGCCCGCGAGGCCAATACCGTCTTAGTGGTGCTCGCGACGGAAAACCCTGACCTCAACTACGTGCCAGCTCTTCCGCGGCTGGTTCGGCTCTTGACGCTCTTCCTCGCTCCGGCCTCCAACTACGCCGTGGCCACGGCCATGATCGAGGCCTCGCGGTCGCGCGGCTGGTACTTTCCGTTGTCGCGGCGAGCCCTGGCGCTTTTTGTAGAGACCTTTGTCTCGCTCGCCAAGTCCAAGGCCAAAAAGGCGACCAAGGCGCTTGCCAAGGTTGGCCTCTCGCTCGCCGACGTCGCCACACCGTGGCTCTCGTCGCTCTTCCTCGGCTTTCTCCCCACCTACGCCGTCCTCGCCATCCTCGATGCTTACATGTATGAGGGCTCCAAGATCCTGTATCGGGTCGGCCTTAGTCTGCTGAAGGCCATGACTCTGGAGCTTCAGGGTGCGGCCTCGCGGGTTGACGCTATCGCGGTCATCTGCGCCAAAACCTGGGCCATTGGCTCAAGCGCACCGGCCTTTGCCGCTATGCTCAAGGACGGCTTTGGCCTGCACTTGCAGCGCAAGAAGTTTGCCAAGCTCGCCTCGGCCCACGCTGCCGCCGGCGTCGACGAGGACCGGTTTGGCAAGGCTGTCCTTTACTACCGGCCAAATCTCTCGGCCGCATCAGACCTGCTCTCGTTTGAGGCCATGTCACTGCTCTGGTACTGGCTCCCGTCCCGGTTCCGCCTTCATTCTGGCGAGCGCATCTTCTCGACAGCCACGGACGGCTATCTCTTGCGCTCACTTGTCAGTGCTGCGGCCGAGACGACTCGACGCGAGCGCGAGACGGTCCCGATCCTGGTCCTCATCTGCCCTGCTGCCGCCCCGCGCACGGTTGTCGGACTCTACCTCTCACGCGGCTTTGGCTCGCCCGAGGCCGACCCCGAGGCCACCTGGCTCGGCAATGGCGAGTCGTTTGTCTTTTGCGCTCATCGCGAGCCATCCGGCACGCCTGTGCTTGTTCACTACGCATGGGACGCTGGCGCAACTTCGGGCCGCGCCTCGTTCTACCGCATCGACGACGGCACCCTTGTCGTCGGACACTCGTCAAGCGGCCGGGCGCTTGCTGTCTCGGACGACTTTTCGAGCCTACTCACCGGCGCCTCGGCCACGTTTGCCTCGCCGCCGCTCTTCCCTGGCGTCGATCCGGGCACGGTTCCTGACTATGCTACCCGCACTGAGCGTGGCGTGGAGTTCTCGATCGGCGCTGCCTCTGCCGTCGAGGCCTATGCCCTTGTCTTCCAGCCGCGCTCCTGAGCGGCAAGCAGCCCGCTCCCTCGGCCAATACACTCTTTCCGAGTCCACTCTGCCACAGCTCGGCACTTGATCGTATCAGCTGCTGCTGCTGCATTAAGGATCTGGGCGCTTGATCCTCTTGATATTGCCGTGACTGCGTCTCACGGCAGCAGGCAATCGTCGGGCGGCGAGTTGGCGTCTCACCTCACTTTGGACGGCGAGTGCGAGTGCGACTGGCATGCAAGGCGGCAGCAGCGGGAGCGTGGGCAGCAGCAGTGGTGGGAGCCAAGGAGTAGGCACACTTCCTCATCGTGTACGATCATGGCTCTCCACCCTCCCTGCCATCACCCGTGCAGTTCTTCTTGTCTGCGTCGCCGTCTATCTCCTCCAGATACTCGCCGGAACTCCCACCTACGCCTCGGTCTGTCTCTCACCCGTCCTCATTGTCTACGACCTGGAGGGTAAGTTACCCCTGCTTGTCCTTGCTGTGTGTGTGTGTGTTTGTGTGTTTGTGTGTGTGTTTGTGTGTGTGTGTGTGTGTGTGTTGTGGTTGTGGTCGTGGTCGTGGTCGTGGTCGTGGTTGTGGTCGTGGTCGTGGTCGTGGTCGTGGTCGTGGTCGTGGTCGTCAGGGTCAGCCTCGCACTTTGGGCCCGTGTCGCAGCTAGTGCACAGAGCGACCACCTTTGCGAGTAGATTCTCCCTCTCCCTCTTCACGGCTCGATCTGCTGCTGCGACTGCCAAGATGAACTGTTGTCTGATCAATGTTCACGCTATCTTGGTTGGGGCTGCTCCCCATCCTGTCCATACTCATCATCGTCTTCCCCTCCCATCCTGCCAGTCTCGCGCCTTGTCACGCACGCCTTTGTCCATGCTCATCTGCTTCATTTGTTCTTCAACATGTCTGCTTTCTACCCGATGGCCATGCGGATGGAGCGTGCACTGGGCTCGTTCTCGTTTGCCTACCACATGGCGCTGATGCTGGTCCTCGCGGCAACGTCCTCGCTAGTCATCTCGCTCACGGCGCTGTACGTCTTGGGATGGCCGGAGCTTATGTTTCACTGCGACATTGGGCTCTCGGGCGTCATCTTTGGTATGATTGTTCTGCAGACCATGGCTGCTCCGTCCGGCTCGCGCTACTCGGTCTTTGGCTTCTTTGATGTTCCCACTCGCGTCTATCCGTTCGCTCTCTTGTTTGTTGTCCAGATGATGATGCCCGGATCGGTCTCGTTCATCGGCCACCTGACCGGCATTATTGCCGGCTTTGTGGTTGGCTCGGGCTGGGCTTCGTATCTGGTGCCCAAGCTACCGACTCTTGCTGCTGTCGAGTCGGCCCGTCCCGTTGCCTCGCTTGTCTCGCTGGCCGGCAGTGCATGGATTTCGGTCGACGCTGCATCTGGCATTGATGCTACTAGCATCCTGCCGACCTCGATGACAACCACTCCACAGCCGCGGGCCATGCCCGCGCCCGGCCGGGTTCCCCCGCCCACCGCCTCGGATCGTCCCGCTGCTGATCCTGCGCCGCAATCGGCGTTCCCCGGCCAGGGCCACACCCTCGGCTCGGCATGACCTGTTTACGATCCACTGAGCTTGCGCGGTGCCTTGGCCTTGGCCTTGGCTTTGGCCTTGGCCTTGGTTTTGGCCTTTGCAGCGCCGGCCTCGGCGCCACTTCCGGGCCCGCTGCCTCCGAGCGGCTTGCCGCGCCGCTGGTTCCGTGGTGGCGGCGGCGTCGACTCTGGCTGCTGCTGTGGCGGCGGCTCCTCCAGCGGCTGGTGGAGCGCAAGTGCAACTTCGATGACCGCCGCCCGCGGGTTGGCCATCCGTGTCGGCGGAAATGCGTACGAGCCAAACGTGGGAAGCCCGAGCCGATCAGCCCGCGCCCGCGCATCGACTGCATCTAGCCGCTCAAGCGCACTCTTCAGATTGATGACACAGGCCTGGACGTCGTGCCGCGCGTGGAGGCCCATCACCGTCGGTTCGAATAGCGAGCCACCGTTGATCTGGCTCGACGCCACAACTCGGAATCGCGGCGCAAGCGGCGCAAACGGTGGCCCGGCCGCGACACCCTCGGCCGACTCGGACCGTGAGCCAGGTGAACCGGCCCTCGATTCGCCGCCACCACTGCTCCGTCCCGCCAGCGACTGCGACGTCCGTGTTCGCCGCGAGCTCCCGCCGCGCCGCCGGGACTTGCCACCGCTTGCCGATGCCGTTGAATGTGACGCCACTATCACAGCGTCGTCGTCGCCGTCGACCTCGTCGGCCTCGTGAGCCTCGTTCTTTGGCCGCGGAATGAATTCGATGCATACCTCCACCACATGCAGCGGAAGCCCCATGAGGAGTCCGTTGCGCAGCGCTGCATCCGCTGGCAGGCTGAGCCGCATCAAGCTTCCGCTCAGCCCCATCTCCACGTTTTGCAGCTTGAGTGCCCGCATCACGCTCGGCGTCAGCCCGTCGCCAAACCCGAGCGACGTCAGCGCCCGGGCAATTCGCTCGTTCACCTCGGTGTGCTCCAGGTTCGGCACCGACGTCAGCTTTTGAGGAAATGTAGTTGCTCCCGCCTCGCGCTCTCCGCCTCCAGCCATTGATGCCGACGACGCCCCGCATGGAACCGCGACGACGACCGCCGCTCTCGCCGAGCGAGAAACGCCGCCCCGACATCCTTTCGCGACCCAGACATGTTTGATCGCGAGCCACTGCTTGCCATCGCGGCCGCCTTCTTTCCAGCCTCCAGCTGCTCGGCATACGGCCCATCTTTGGCCGCCAACGCGTCGATAAGATCCAGAAACGAGAACTCGTCAGAGGTCACCACAACGCCCGGCATCAGCTCGACCTCGACAAAGTAGACCAGGATTGGCGGCGGTGGAACTGCAGAGAGAACTTCGGCCATGGCTTTGGTGCGCGACGCAGCCTGTGTCGCTGCGTTCGACGCCCCGCTCACAGCGCCAGCCGGCGGTGTTCCCGCTGCGTTGCGCGCTGACGACCGCGAGTGCGGCAGCCGCCCGCGCACCGAGCCCGACGTCTGCCCACTCAGTCCATGGTTTGCGATCGAGGCACCTGACGTGGATGTCGCAAGCGCAGAGCCTGCCGCCGCTGTTGCCGCCGCCGCTGCCATTGCAGCAGCCTCACGCTCAAGCGCAAGCGCAGTCTCGGTCTTGGCCACCACCTCTTCCGCCAGCCGCTCCAGCCACACCGCAAATGTCCAGCCCGGCGCCGGCACTGCCGAGATCGAGTACAGTTCCACAGCCACATTCACCGTTCGCGCCTTGAGAAGCGCGTCAAAGGCTGGCTGTGCCCCAGAAATGAGCACCGTCAGTGTCTCGTTCTGCGAGCTCCACTGGTTCCGCCCCAGCGACGTCCGCCGAGACGACACCCCCGACAACGAGCCGAGATCAATGAGCCACTCTCGCACACTCTCACGCTCTTCCGGCACCACCGGCTTGTCGTCCAGGACTGTCAACTCCGGCAGGCATGCCAGCGTCAACTGCCGGTACGCCTTGAGCAAGCTCAGCGGATTGCCCATCAACTTGAGATGCTTCAGCCGTGGCAGAGTCACCAGCGCCTTGAGCGCCTCGTCGAGGTCCTCAAGCACGTTGAATGAAAGGTCAAATGAGAGCAGCCGCGGAAAAAGCTCGCCGAGCGTGACCACACCGCCAGTCCCAGACTTGACCGATGCCGCAGAGCCGCGGTCACCGCCGGCCTTCACCACAAGATCGTCAACGTACACGCCCAGTGATGTGAGGTGGTTGTGCGAGAGCGAGAGATGGACAAGTGCGTTAGAGAACTTGCCCGAGTATGCCAGCGTCGAGCCGAGCGAGCCGCCAAGCGCGTTGCACCCCACATTGAGGATGGTGAGCTGAGGTGGAAGGACCGAGGGAATGCGAGAAATCGCGTTGCCCGTCAATGACAACTCCTGGAGGCCAGGCATGAGTGCGAGGAACTCGTCGTCGATCTCGGTGATGCCGGCCTCGTGAAGCGAGAGAGTCTCAAAGAAGCCGAACAGCCACTCTTTGTCAAAGTGGAAGAGCGAGTGCTCGCGCGAGAGTACATACAGCTCGGGCGCTTCGGCTGACCAGGAGAGCATGTGCTCTAGGTTGGCATCAAGGAACGAGCGCTCACCAGTCACCGCTACGTCGTCGGCCTCAGGCACCACGTTGGAGAGCAGGATACGCGAGCCGACAATGGTCGGCGCAATTCTCCGACCCACTGGCTCCTTTTGCACCCGGAAGTTGCGCATCGGGTTCTCAATGCTGGCCCGCAGCGAGGCCACCGACGAGTCTGGAGAATCGGCCATCCGCAGATCGACCGCCCCACGCCCGCCGGCGGCACCGCCCTGTGACGACGCCGCCGAGGACGATGATGATGACGACGACGATGACGACGACGATGACGACGACGATGCCGACGACGAGGCCGACAATGACGAGTGCGGCCGGCCATCCTCAGCGGATGCGCCTCCGGCCGGACTACCACCGGTCCGGTGGCTTGAGCGGTGCAAACGGCCGGCCTGCGAGCGGTTGGCCGGCGGACGTGGGCGGGCAGCCTGCGTGCGTACAGGAGCATGAGCTTTGCGCAGAGAGCGCGAGGGCGGACGGAGCGGTGGTGGACGCAGAGAGTCGAGATACGCCTGGGTCATGGGCTGGATGCCCAGGGTGGCATGGACCACATCCAGGAAGGCCGCCGAGGCAGTGGCAGAAGGAGCCACCTCGTTGGGCAGCTGGCACACCTCGGCAGAGGGCCACCACAGCACTTGCTCGTCCCGCACACCTCCGTCCTGCATCCTCCCTCTTCTCAAAGCTACTCCCTGCGTGTCGAGCGAGGTGACGTGTTCTTCGTTCTTCTTGCTTGGTCGTCGCCTTGGCTGGCGCTGGTGAGTGGTCGAACCTGTGGGCGCCACCATTGGGCGGTGGCCGACACAGCCTGTCGGACAGCCAGCCGGCTGGGCTGCATTGCTCACCTGGCTATGGATGATCTTTATGCTACGTCCAGAGGACAAGGGCTTACACAGACGTTGCAAGCGCTGCAAGATCAACGGCAGAGACCATCTTTCGCCCGCGGCGTCGGGTGGCCTGGGCAGCGGCGCGCCGGGCTCGCGCTTCTTCGCGCCGCCGCGTCTTGGCGTTGTCGGCAAGCGCCTTGTCCCACCGCACCTGAAACTGCGCCAGCGCACCAAGCAGGAACGAGATGTCGTGCTTGCTCGGATCCTCGCCGTACTTGATCATAACCTCGCGCGCCCGCGCCTCGACGTGCTCGAGATCGGCCACCAGCTCGGCCACCCGCTCGAGCGCCGTCTCCATAAACGAGTCCAGCAGCTCGTGCAGCCGCGTGCCTGGATTGGTCTCACCAACTGCCTGCAGCTGCGCCGCGGCTGTATGCGTCCGACTCGCTAGCTCGCGCACCGCAGGGCCAACGGCGGTGGCGAGCGGCTTGCGTGCACCTGCGCCCGCATCCGCTAGCTCGGCACGGAGCCCAGCCTCGACCTCGGGCGCGTTGCGTTGGACGTGCGCCGCGAGGACGTGCAAGAGCGTGCACGAGCCATCAACGCTCTTGGTATCGGCAAGCGCGTTGAGCGAGGACGCGGCAAAGCCAAGGATCGGCCGCGCCGACGACGCAGTATAGTTGACAACTGCAAGGACAAGCTGGAGAATCCGCACAAGATGCACGCCCGACGCCAGCGAGCCCACAGCCGCGTGGACCACCGCAATACCGGCTTCGGCCTCAGATGCGAGCTCAGCAAACTCGTTGTGGAAGACAAGAAGGTCGAGCTCGGCGCGGAGGTCCGGCACATCCATCACCGCTGCCACAAACTGAGAAGCCTTACCAAGTACAATCCCAGGTACTGGTGTCACAAGGTATGAACGCACAGCCTCCTCGTCCTCGGCGCTTGGTCGCACCGCAGCCAAGCGCTTGACCCGTTCCGGCGTCAGGACTCCCTCATCCACCACCACCAGCGCGTCGCGCAGTGAGTGCATCGGCAGATCGCGGAACTGTGCAAGCACAATCCCAATCTTCTGCGCCACCTTGGGCTCCAGAACCTCCATCACCTTGGCTCGCTTCTTGCTAGTGCTCTTGCTGCTCTTCACCGCCTTGGGCTCTGCGTTGAACAGCGGCTCGAGTGAGGCCAGATCAAGACCAAGTGGCGCCGCTGAGACCTCTACGTCCGCAAACACCGTCCCGGCCACTGCCTTGGAGGTGAGCGCCGAGACGCGAAGTTTGCGCATCTTGCAGCTTGCGCGCTTGAACCCACCGACTACCACTTCGGCCTTGACGCCCGGCGGCGGCGGCGGCGGTGGGCCTCCACCAGGCGGAGGTGGCGGCGGAGGCGGAGGCGGCGGCGGTGGGCCTCCCGGCGGCGGCGGAGACGGTCCGCTCCCGTCGCCACTTGCCCTCCGCTGCTTGGCCCGCTTGGCAAACCGTTTGAGCTTGATGACAGCCTTGAGTGGGACAGCCGCCGCCGAGATTCCGGCCGTCATCTTGTGGGCCTTGAGGTTTTTGCGAGTGGTTTGCAGCTCCTTGGTCACAAACTCGAGCTGGTTGCGCGCAGCCCGTATTGCCGAGCTAAAGGCTGCCACTTCGGCCTCGCGCCGTGCATGTGCCGCACGCAGCGCCTCGGTACCAGCACGCACAGCCGTTTGCTTTGCGGCCACCAGCGCGGCCTCGCGCTCGGCGGCGACAGCGTCGCGGCGTTGCAGCGCACTGGCTGCTTGTGGCGCATCGGCGGAGAGCGTTGCTACCTGTGAGGTTAAGTCCGCAATCTGCGCTTGCAGCGCTGCCTCGCGCTTCCTCGCGCCATCGATGTCCTCTCGATCAGCCATGAGCTTCCGAAGTTGTTCAACCCCGGCATCGCGCTTTGAGCTGGGTACCACCCCATTGCCAGCCACCTCGGCCACCAGCTTGGCAAGCCCGTCCCAGATCACAGACCCGCGCGCCGTTGAGCCAGGCACGGCCAGCAGTGACTGCATTACACTCACAAACGAGGCATACGTCTCGCCGGCGCTTCGTAGATTCGTCTGCAACAGTCGCGCCACAGCCACCGGATCATCTAGTGAGACATCGCCAAACTCGGCGAGCACCTTGTCGTGCGCCGCCGAAGCCTCGTAGCTCTCCATAGCGGCCTGCAGTGCACCGGCAGTCTTGTCGTCGTCGGCCGCGGCTTCGACGACCTCACCCAGGCGCGTCCACGCCGCCTCCCACACCCCGGTCTCTTCCAGCATGGCTCGCATGGCGGTCCGCGCTGCAAGCTCAGGCGCACCATCAACCAGCGCGTTAACCAGCCGCATGTTGACCACCGGCTGCACGCCCTCGACGTCGAGATCGGCATTGCCTAGCACCGCCACAATCTGCTGATACGGCCTGGCCCGAGCCCGCGGCTGATCTGCGGCGGCAGCGACCAACGAGGCCTGGACCAACGTGTGTGACTCACTCGAGTAGCGGGCAAGGCCAGTGAGCAAGTGCGCCGCCAGCCGCGCCACGCTCGGCACCTCAGAGTACGTTGCCTCCGCCAACCGCGCCACGTATGCGGGCTCAGCAGCCACAGCCTCCAGCCCGCTCACCGTCGCCATTGCTGTTGCCACCGTGTCAATAAGCTCCTCCTCGAAGATGTGAGTCTCGACATCAGCTTCTGCCCCGGTCTGCACCACCGAGAGCTCGTCAAACAGTGCCGCCAGCCCACCGCCGTCGACAAACTCCTCGGCCCACTGCGAGCTCGCACCATCCAGCGCAGCCTTCACCCGCAGCAGCGTGTCCTGCTCGGGCGCCACTTGCAGGAGCCGGAGATAGTGCTCGACAGGCCGCGCTTCGGCAACAGGCACCACGCTCATTGATGCCGTGAGCGTAGGCATAACTTCGACGTCTGCACCCACGAGGTCCAGCCCTGAGCCCTTTCGCTTCTGATCATTGTCGAGCTCGATCAAGTCGTTGAACGAGAGCACTTTGTCAGCTGGCGGTTGCGGCTGACCGCCTAGCAGCAGCGCTGGTGAGTTGGCACGTGAGGCGGGCTTGGCCGTACTGCTCCCGTCAGCGGCCAGCTCACCCATCTTGGTGTGGGCGGTGGCAAGCGCAGCGAGAAGATGGACTCGTTCGGCTGCATGGACCACATCGTCGGTGCCAGAATCACCGACTTCGACGGCCTCGAGTTCCTCGAGCGCATGCTTGAGCTGCGGGCCAAGCCAAGAGATCGACTGCGCCCCAGGCGTGGCCAGCGCAGATCGGCCTTGGTTCGCTGCTGCCAACACCATGCCCTCGGCCTCGCCCAGATCGCCGGATCCGAGGGCCTGCGAGAGCCTCTCGACTGCGGTGTAGTCGTGTCCACTCGAGTCTTGACCACCAGCCCCAGTGTGAGCATCGATGGCCTCGGCTAGGCTGCCAGCCGCCGTGACAACAGCGTCATTGTCGCGGCCAGTGTCGAGCGCGCTAGCCAGCGTCTTGGTCGCAAACTCAAGTTCGTGGGTGCCGGCCACCTGATGGAGGGCAAGCCCGGCTGTGAGAAGGGCAGTTGCGCTCTCAGGCTTGCTGAGGCCTAGCAGCGCTTGGGATGAAACGCTGCGCGCGGCAGCAGCGGTTCGACTGAGGGTGGCGGGCGCGCCAGCAGCATCCATGGCTGCCAGCGTGCACGCGGATCCGGCGTCGAGTGCAGCATGCAGGGTTGCTATGAGCGAGGTGATGGCACGAGCGGCGTGCTTGGCACTACGCCGTGACGTCGGGCGAGTGGAGATCTCGGCAAGAGCACGGCTCCCGGCCGCGCGTGCTGTCTCTAGCGCCCTGGCATGGCTGCGCAGCAAGTCGCCGCTGGGCGCGTCCACAGCGCCGGAAGCCTGTTCCAAATGTCCAATGGCATCAACGGCAAGAGCTACAAGATGCTGCAGCTCGCTAGCGGCATCATGGGGACGCTGACGAACGTCCGCGGCGGACCATGCCGAGGGAACCTGGGCGGCAAGCAGGGCGAGGTTGGCCAGCGGCGGGGCCCACAGCTCGCGAGCGTCCGCATCGTCTAAGCCGAGTGAGGCGTTACCAGCCCGCTGTGCAAGAGCAATGCCGGCTTCTGCCGCCGCTGCCAGGACCGCTGACGCCGCCGCCAGCTTGGCACGCGACGCAACGGTCTTGCGGCGGCGGTATGCCTTGGCATTTCGGCGGACAGCCTTGCCGCACGCGCGGATGTGGATCCGTGCCCGCTGCAGTCGTCGAGTGTCAGCTCGCGAGTCGACCAGCGGTTCGAGCTTCTCCATCAGCGCAAGCATGTCAGCGACAGCTGTGACGTGTTCACGGGCTCGCGCCGTTAGCGACGAGCCTGACGGATCAAGTGGCGTGGTCACGGCCTCACCCGCGACCGCAATGCCATCTAGGACCCGCCGCAGCGCCTTTTCGTCAAGAGGAGGCTCAACATAGCCAAGCCCGTGTCGCTTGGGTAGTAGCTGTAGCGCTGCCGCTGCCCATCCGGGATCATCGTCCAGCGCGCCGACAAACCGAACCACAGCTGGGGCGTTGTTCGGCGGAACGAGGACTGGGAGGCCGGCGCGCAGCGCAACGCCGACCCCGGGAGCCAGCCCGGCGTCAAACAGGCGCGATCGGTTCTGCTCAACCTTGCGCACGTCGTCCTGGCTCGCCAAGGCGAGCAGGCTCAGTCCATGACGCTTTGGTGAGAGGTGATCCGAGTTGGGCGGCGTGACTTGTTCCACCGTCTTTGCGAGATAACCAGCAGCCAGAGCACGTTCAACAGGATCGATGCGTTCGAGAGCCTTTGGGCGGACAAATACACCATGTCGAGGCCGTGCATCAAAGTAGCGGACACCATCGACTGATCCGTTGTTCTTGCCCACGGGGCGGGAGCAGACGAGGCCAACCCATGTACCACGGGCAAACTCTGTAGAACCGACATAAGCTACTGTAGCCTCCTCCCACTGCAAGGGTCTCACTCGTACAACATCTCCCACTTGTACACGCATCTACTTCTTTCCCCTCTAAAGTCACGTGTCCCCTCCCCCCCCCCCCTCCCCCCGCCTCCTTCCCCTGTCACCTGAAGGGCTCTGTCCTCGCCCCCCACGCCCCACGCCCCCCCCCCCCCCCGGGGTTTTGTTGTTCGGGAGGGAGGTGTGCCCCCCCGTGTCTCCCCAGAGAGCGAAAGGGGTCGCGCCGGGTGACATTTTTCGCCGCGCCATGCC